GAGATTAATGCGGAGCCCTGCAGGACTGGTCTGAACTGGTAAGGCCACTTGGGCTACATACCAACAGGCATGTGTAAAACTGTCACTGTACTGATTAACTGCTTTTGTTCTTGCATCTGTAAACTGGCTTCTTTTCGTACCCTAAGATGCATAAAAAGCCCTTGCTTTCTCTGTCTGGGGCTCAGACCTTTGGATGTGAATCCACTGAGCTGGTGTATACCTTAAATAAATCCTCCTATAACCTCATTGGTCTCTCTGGTTCCCTGATTTCTCCTAACAAATGCAACTGGGATAAGCTGATGTCTGAAAGATAAGTTAGTTAGCAACAAGATTGAAAGGTACAGAGGCCTACCATCCTCAAGACAGAGAGAAGCTCATTCAAAGGTCATAGTGAGACAGAAACATGGCAATGTGCCTAGAAACCAGCAGTGGTACAAACCAAACATTCCAAGAATGGGTAAGTGGTAGGCCAAGGTCAGATCATCCCTAACCATGAAGATCAATTTTTGGAATTTGTTTATTTTTATTTTTTGAGATGGAGTCTCACCAAGCTGGAGTGTAGTGGTGCTATCTCAGCCCACTGTAATCTCTGCCTCCCGGGTTCAAGTGATCTTCCTGCCTCAGCTTCCCAAGTAGCCGGGGCTACAGGTGTGCGCCACCACACCAGGATGGTCTTGATCTCTTGACCTCGTGATCCACCTGCCTTGGCCTCCCAAAGTGCTGGGATTATAGGTGTGAGCCACTGTGCCCATCCTGGAATTTATTTTTTTTATTGCATTGGATGATGCTTCATTAGAAACAAGGACGTTTAAGTAGAAACAGTGTGCAGTCTGATTTCTATGCAGAACAAAAAGAAAATTGCTTGGAGAAGAGACCCTACACAGAACACCCGAGTTTGAGGTGATGACGGTCATGGTGTGAGACACAGACAGACCAAAAAGATATCTGGGTGTAGAACACAAAAGATTCAGCAAGAGATTCAATTTGAAAGTCAGGGAGAAGTATTTAGATCAGTGGTTCATTCTCAAGATTTAGTGGGACCTAGGATACTTGTTTAAAATGGGCATTCCTGGGCCCATGCTCAGAGGTTCCAATTTTGTAGAACTAGGGGATAAAGATGCTGGAACCTGAATTTTTAATATGCAGCTCTGGTAATTCTGATACTGATGGGCCTCCTACTGCACTTGAGAAAGTACTAATTTAAAGGACTCCCAAACTTCTGGCTTACACAAGACAGTGGTCAGGGTTGGAATGGAGGCACAATTTACAGAAAATGTGAATGATGACAGCCAAGAAAGCTTGTGAGTATGAGCCATGAATTCAGGAGCCTCTGCTTCTCATAGTCCCCTGGGGACAGACAGAGCAAGAGGCTGACTGCCTTTAATGTTTGGACTATTCCTGTGGGGCTGCCCAAGTGGCCTTTCTGATAGAAGTAGTTCATCAGCTAAGTGTCATGTCTGTCTCAAAACTGATTCCATTTAGAATGCTGAGAGGCCGTTACTTCCAAGCACACATCTGCCTTGACTCAGATACTGGCTATCTGTGAGAGTACCACCTACTCCTTCCTCCTAGATCACTAGGCATCAGTCAAGCTGGCCTGTCACAACTCTGATACCAACTTGGCTAGCCCCATCACCATATTCAGTTCTAAATATCTAAACTATCTAAAATAGTGTATGCATGCCTTTTTTAAAAGATTAATAGGCTGGGCATGGTGGCTCATGCCTGCAATCCCAGCACTTTGGGAGGCCAAGGTGTGCAGGTCACCTGAGGTCGGGAGTTCCAGATCAGCCTGACCAACATGGAGAAACCCTGTCTCTACTAAAAATACAAAATTAGCCATGCATGGTGGCGCATGCCTGTAATCTCAGCTACTTCAGGAGGCTGAAGCAGGAGAATTTCTCAAACCCAGGAAGCTGAGGAAGGAGAATCACTTGAACCCAGGAGATGGAGGTTGCGGTAAGCCAAGATCATGCCATTGCACTCCAGCCTGGGCAATAAGAGCGAAACTCTGTCTAAAATAAAATAAAATAAAGATTAATAGCTGGGCGCTGTGGTTCATGCCTGTAATCCCAGCACTTTGGGAGGCCGAGGCAGGTGGATCACCTGTGGTGGGGAGTTCAAGACCAGACTGTCCAACATGGCGAAACCCCGTCTCTATTAAATACAAAAATTAGCTGGGTGTGACGGCTCATGCCTGTAATCCCAGCTACTCAGGAGGCTGAGGCAGGAGAATCACTTGAACCCAGGAGGCAGAGGTTGCAGTAAGCCGAGATGGTGCCACTGCACTCCAGCCTGGGTGACAAAGTGAGACTCTGTCTCAAAAAAAAAAAAAAATTTAAGACATTATTTTTTAGAGCAGTTTTAGGTTCATAGCAACACGAAGTGGAAGAACAGAGACTCCCCAGATCCCTTTTTTTGCTGAGTATTTCCTTTTTCTGGTACTGTACAAAAAGTACAGTAGATGCTCCAGGCCCATCTACTACTTTCCTTGCTCCAGTCCTCCTGGAATCAGCCATTTTTTCAAGGAGCAGCCCTGGTTCCTTTTATTGGAAAATGATATTAGAAACCAAGATCGGGTTCTGTGTTTGTTGCTGCTTACAGTGCCCCTGCTTGTAGGCCCTCTTAGCCAACAGAGCAAGGAGGTCTATGTGTGTACCATGTATATATAAAATAACTACATTTCCCTTTTAACCAGCTGTATCTATATTAAGCTAAATATGAGGTCATACTGATGTCTTCAACTTTAATCTATTACCACATGGATCACTGTCACCACCTTGCTTCACTTATCTGTAACTTCCACTTCAAGAGTGAGACATCTGTCTCTCACCATCTGCCATACAATAACTTAATTGTTCTATTCCAGTCACCATGTACATCAGTGCCTTAACTGCTGACCTGTACCCCCATGCCTCATTCAATTTTATCCCTTTACCTTGCTTTATTCTCTTCTATCGCACTCTACATTGTTTATATTCTGCATTTTATGCTTATTTAAGTTTGTTTTCTGTTTTCCTTCTCTATAACAACAGAGACTTTCACTGTTGAGTCCCAAGCACCTAAAGTTTGCACAGAGTAGGTGCCCGATAAATAAAGTGGAACAAATGACCAGAAAATTGAAATGCTTACTATGTTAATAAAGCAGGTCTCAGGAGGTCCTTTCCTAGCCAGTCCTATGTCACTCAGCTTTGAGATACTGAATCTATTTCAATCAAATTGTAATCATAGCATATAATTTAAACTTTTCATCAATTCAACTCCTTATCTCCCCAACTGCTACGATTATAACCACCAAACTAAAACAGTGAACTATTACAAACTCACATACCCTATTTTTTCCTTTAAGTCCTGACTGTAAGTAACCACCCCCTCCCCCCATTCCCATCCCTTGATACCTATCTCCTAGATAGACATTGCCAACCAGTTTAAATTTTCTAGAAATTTTTGATTCTGTCTGCTCTATTTATTGATAATGTTTTTCTCATTTGATAAAACATGAGTAACATAATCAATATCATAAATTCAAATCACAGAGTTAATAAGAAGTTATATAAACATTAGGCTGTTGATTTTAAGTTAATCTTCCAAAAGGACTCTGAAGGCATATAAAGCAATTTTTGAAAAAAGTACACAGATTTGCTCTCTTTTCCTTAGTGGAAGCCTGAGTTTTAAGAACAGAGACACTAACAGAAAACATATGGAAAAGATCAGTAACAAGATGGAATCTTGGCTCAAATGTGGTCTGCCACGTTTTACATACCAATGTCTCAAATAATAGACTGCGTTTTTACAACTGCCAAAGCATCACTTGAAACACTGTATACTTTCCTTAAATGCAAGGTTTAACAAAATAAATCTTGTGAGTTCTTTGTAAAAAGCTAGTGGAAAACACTTTTTTGAAGAAACAAAAATGAACTCCAGGATTCACTTTATCTTACTGGTTTGTAAAAGCTTAAAAGAATTCCCCCCCAAAATGAACTCCAAGTCCACTGCCAAAAGACCCAGTCAACTCTGTTTAGAATATGAAAACAGTGTAAAAATTAAACATTGAAAACAGTTAACTGTTACTATTCGGGAGAGATAGCTCTATGAAATGAAGAAATTTTCTAAATTTACAAAATAAAGGCAATAGTTATTGAGCAACATAAGCTTATGATTCCATTTTATTCAATATTACAAAAATGATTACTTTGTACAATACTAAAACAGGCAAATTGGAGATACACCTTTAGAGTGCAACCAACTGATTAATTTTTATCTCAAAGGATATTAGAAGTCATTCTAATGGGTACATTTGCAAGCAAGAGGAGAAAAGAGATAGCTGATAAAAATGAAGGTGTAAGCCTTTGTACAGAAAAGTCATATATTTAATCTGTGTAACCAATGATAATTGAGTGCATTTTAAAAATAAACTAAAGGTGAAATGTTACATGTTTCTAATCCCGATTCCTTATTTTAACAAAGAGAAGTACTGATGTGAACCTAGGTGTTGAACAACCAAGGGACTAAAGAAATTCTGAGTTTCAGGCTGGGCACGCTGGCTCATGCCTGTAATCCCAGCACTTTGGGAGGCTGAGGCAGGAGGATCACCTGAAGTCAGGAGTTTGAGACCAGCCTGGCCAACATGGCGAAACACTGTCTCCACTAAAAACACAAAAAATTAGTGAGGTATGGTGGTTCATGCCTGTAATCCTAGCTACTGGGAAGGCTGAAGCAGGAGAATTACTTCAACCTGAGTTGTAGAGGTTGCAGTGAGCCAAGATTGAGCCACTGTACTCCAGCCTGGGTGACAGAGAGACTCTATCTAAAAAAAAAAAAATTTTGAGTTCCACTTTAAGTTGCTGAGACACTGGAGTTCCATTGTCACAGTGGACCTTAATTTGAAGAATTCTTTGGCATAAAAATGAAAATAAAAACAGTAATCAGTACATTCTGTTTCATTTAGTTTTGTTTGCCTTTCACATTAGAGGAAATTCTTGCCACACCCCAAACCAAAATTAAGGGGAAAAGAAAGAAGTAAGCCACATAAATCTGACCAAGAACACAAGCATCTTAATTTGAATCCACAAAGTTTCATGTAATGAAAAGAAATACATACTTTTAATTCAACCCAAGTGTTTTCCAAGAAGATTGTATTTGCTTAAATTGCTACAGTAATTCAAGAGACAGCCCTGTCTGGACACACAGTTACTGTGGATTTTTAAGAGACTCAGTTAAAGAATTTAGGAATTTCTGATTCATTTAAAGGATTTACAAATTCATCAACCCCTGAAAACTAAAGCAAATTCAACAGGTATGATGATAAAATAATTTTCATTTTTTAAAGAATGTATTCCTACTATTAAAATTGAAAAAGTATACTGGATTTGTTTAATATTAAAATAGACTGAATCTATTATGAAAGCACAATTTTTGGAAGCAAAATCTGGTAAAAAAGTTACATTAAACTTTTGATTAGGCAAAATGTTCAAGTAAAGAAATAGTATAATGAGTTTAACTCTTTCTCATTTAAGATTTACCCAATAAACAATCTTTGTTTAGATTTTTATTTTAACTTTAAATGAAAGGAGAGATTCTCAGGTTAAAGGAATCAATCTCTTTCTCTTTCTTAGCTCTCTTTTTCTCTCTGAATTTTAAGTAAAAAAGAACCAGCTAATGCCTTTGAGGCAGACATCTGAGCAATGCTAGTGGTTCCAGTTGGGGGGTTGATGGGCATTTGTGCAAATTTCACTCAAAACTTTCTCCAAATTTCACTACTGACTAAATCCCTGATAGAGAATGTTTTTCTTTTCATTTATCTCTTTCTCAAAGGGAAGATACAGATGTTCTAGCCAGTCTATTGAAGGATCTAGTTACTTTGGGTTTTAGTTAATTAAGATTTAAATGTATTGTGGCTAAAAATAATTGAGGCAGTTGTATTTTTCATAGCAAAAGAATTTTACAAATTAAAATTTAGAACTTTTTTGGAAAAATCTGAATTATATGCTAATATTTGGTTTCTTATATGCTAGTTTCTATGGCATACCAATAAAAACAATTATGCCTTTAACGTAATAAAATATTATGAATCTTTTACTTTAAACTTTTCCTGAACAAGTAAATTATACCTCATTTTTATTAATAATTTCAATTAAAACTTTTCTTGATGAATGCATAAGTACTTTACTCCAAGAGAAATGTTATGACACAGATGCTTGTATTGCTATAATATAAAAAATTCAAATTGAAAACTGGTAATATATATATTTTACTTTGCTCCAAACATTCTTTTTCACATTTGTTATTTTCCTATTACACAATATACTAGGAAAGTGAGGAATGCAGTGTACTGTGATGGAGAAATATTCAACAGAAAAAGGAACAGTCAAGCTCTCATGAATATGTCCATTTGAAGAAATCACCATGGTAAAATAAATGTCTAGAAATAATCAACATTAGTAGAGAGAAGCACTGCTAACAAGACTTAATCTATAATTTATTAACTTATTCATCCAACAAATCTTTGAGAACTTATAACACCGCATTGTATTACATTCTATAAAATATTAGATATCAGGAAATTACATGATTGACAATGATTACAATATTGCTGTGAGTTATTCTATACAGAACAAGGCATAGATTGTAGAGTATGAAAAGAAGAGGTAACAAAAATATGCTTAGCAAATAACTGAGAAGAGATTAGTTGGGGAATGAAAAATGTGGATAAAATAAGAGATTGTTGTAACAGAGGAAATTATCATGGGGAAAGAGCAAGAGGCATAGAAAATAATGGGCATTAGATGAAAACAGAATGGATTTCAGATGAGAACACTGCACTTAGTCAAAGGGAGTAGAACAAGACTGTACTACATGGTTAGGAATGTGGAGGGAGGAGGACAAGGATGTTTAAGGTAAGTTCAGGTTTAGAAGAGAAATTGTTCCTCAGGGAAAGACTTTCTTCTTGGGTACTCACAACAGACCAAAAGCAGACAACATTAAGAACCTCTTTATTTTCAGAGATGCCCTAGTCATGATGTCTTGATTCTAGGCTGCCTTCTTTTTTCTGTACAATTTTTCATACCTGTTGAACAACAGAGTCTAACTGTCAAATGTAGGGTTGCCAATTGATGATTGCTAATGCTGTCAACACGAGGATAAAATTCAAGCTGAGTTTTTGGCCAGGCGTGGTGGCTTACACCTGTAATCTCAGCACTTTGGGAAGCTGAGGTGGGTGGATTGCCTGAGGTCAGGAATTTGAGACAAGCCAGGCCAATATGGCAAAACCCAGTCCCTACTAAAAATACAAAAACAATTAGCCAGTCACAGTGGCTCACACCAGTAATTTCACCACTTTGGGAGGCTGAGGTGGGCAGATCACCTGAGGTCAGGAGTTGGAAACCAGCCTGGCCAACATTGCGAAACCCCATCTCTACTAAAAATACAAAAAAATTTAGCCAGTCACGGTGGTACACGTCTGTAATCCTAACTACTCAGGAGACTGAGGCACAAGAATCACTTGAGCCCGGGAGGTAGATGTTGCAGTGAGCCAAGATCATGCCACTCAACTCCAGCCTGGGTGACAGAGCGAGACTCCGTCTCAAAAAAAGAAAAAAAGGTTGCCCCTTCAGATCCGGATTTTTTTTTTTTTTGAGATGGAGTCTTGGCTCTGTGGCCCAGGCTGGAATGTAGTGGCATGATCTTGGCTTATTGCACCCTCTGCCCCCCGGGTTCAAGCGATTCTCCTGCCCCAGCCTCCCAAGTAGCTGGGATTATAGGCTCGTGCCACTGTGCCCACCTAATTTTTGTATTTTTAGTAGAGACGGGGTTTCGCCATCTTGGCAAGGCTGGTGGTAGACTCCTGACCTTGTAATCCACCTACCTCAGCCTCCCAAAGTGCTGGGATTACAGGCATGAGCCACTGCGTCCGGCCTTCAGAGCTGGATTTAATAGTCTTATTTTGCTTCGTCAACAGTTAACCAACTACATTTCCCAAACACATCACCATTTGTTGCTCCTATGTTTTGCTCATCTCTTGTATCTGGAGATCTTCCTCACCTCCCTCTGTGAGAATCTCAACATTCCTTCAAAGTCTAGGTCAAATGCCACATCTTCCATGGATCTCACAGAAAGCCACCACGCCCAGCTAATTTTTTTTTTTGTATTTTTAGTAGAGACGGGATTTCACCATGTTGACCAGGATGGTCTCGATCTCTTGACCTTGTGATCCACCCGCCTCGGCCTCCCAAAGTGATGGGATTACAGGCTTGAGCCACCGTGCCCAGCCTAAGTCATTTCATTCTTTCTTGAAACCCTTGATGGGAAAAGTAGACAGAAAGGTCTCAGAATAAAAGAGGTAGGATTTTTAATAATCTTTTTCCTAAATGATACATTCATTTCATCTGGAGAGAGTTTTCAATTTGCAAAGTATTTTTACATGCATAGCTCATACAATGCTAACAATGACCAGGTGGCATAAGTAGGCAAAATATAAGACACAAGGAGGCCGGTTACAGTGACTCACACCTGTAATCTCAGCACTTTGGGAGGCCAAGGTGGGTGGCTCATGAGGTCAAGAGTTTGAGACCAGCCTGGCCAACATGGTAAAACCCAGTCTTTACTAAAAATTCAAAAATTAGCTGGGTGTGGTGGAGTGCACCTGTAATCCCAGCTACTGGGGAGGCTGAGGCAGGAGAATTGCTTGAATCCGGGAAGCAGAGGTTGCAGTGAGCTGACATTGTGCCACTGCAGTCCACCCTGGCTGAAAGAGTAAGACTCTTTCTCAAAACAAAACAAAACAAAAAAAACAAACAAAGGCCAGGCGCAGTGGCTCATGCCTGTAATCCCAGCACTTTGGGAGGACAAAGTGGGTGGATCACCTGAGGTTAGGTGATCAAGACCAGCCTGGGCAGCATGGTAAAACCCCATCTCTACTAAAAACACACACAAAAAGTTAGCCAGGTGTGATGGCACGTGCCTGTAATCCCAGCTACTTAGGAGGCTGACTCAGGAGAATTGCTTGAACCCAGGAGGTGGAAGTTGCAGTGAGCTGAGATTGTGCCATTGCACTTCAGCCTGGGCAACAACAGCAAAACTCCGTCTCAAAAAAAAAAAAAAAAAGATGGTTACTCAGTAGAAAGTCTACTATACCACTTTTGACTCTAGTTCAGTGTAATACCTGACTTAAAAAAAAAAATCTCAGCTGGGCATGGTGGCTCACGCCTGTAATCCCAGCACTTCCGGAGGCCAAGGCGGGAGGATCACCTGAGGTCAGGAGTTCAAGACCAGCATGGCCAACATGACAAAACCCTGTCTCTACTAAAAATACAAAAATTAGCTGGGTGTGGTGGCACGTACCTGTAGTCCCACCTATTTGGGAGGCTGAGGCAGAAGAATTGCTTGAACCCAGGAGGAAGAGGTTGCAGTGAGCCAAGATTACATCACTGCACTCCAGCCTGGGTGACAGCAAGACTGTCTCAAAAAAAAAAAAAAAAAAATATATATATATATATATATATATATATGTGTATGTATATATATATACACATACATATAAAATCTCAACTCACTGGTACTTAAACATTTAATTTAATTTTGGTTTGAGGTCAAGCTCGGTGGCTCATGTCTGTAATCCCAGCACTTTGGGAGACTGAGGTGAGTAGATGCCTTGAGGTCAGGAGTTTGAGACCAGCCTGGGAAACATAGTGAAACCCTATCTCTACTAAAAAATACAAAAATAAGTCAGGTGTGTTGGCATGTGCCTATAGTCCCAGCTACTTGGGTGGCTGAGGCATGAGAATTGCTTGAACCCGTGAGGCAGAAGCTGCAGTGAGTTGGGATTGTGCCACTGCACTCCAGTCTGGGTAACAGAGAAGACTGTCACAAGAAAAAAAAAAGAAATTAGTTTGAGCACTGCCCATTCTTTCTGGATATTCTTTTATATACAGACATAGGTAGCTGTCAATTTATACAAAGCGTATTCTGAGTTAACACACTATTCTCCACAATGTTTCCTTTTCTCCTTGCAATAGGACAAAAAACAAGAAGAAGAAGATGATGATGATGAGCTTCTTAAGTCCAATATATATTCTTTTCTTCTTTTTTGGAGTCAAAGTGCATTGCCAATATGAAACTTATCAGTGGGATGAAGACTATGACCAAGAGCCAGATGATGATTACCAAACAGGATTCCCATTTCATCAAAATGTAGAATATGGAGTCCCTTTTCATGGATATACTTTAGGCTGTGTCACTGAATGCTTCTGTCCAACTAACTTTCCATCATCAATGTACTGTGAAAATCGCAAACTCAAGACTATCCCAAATATTCCAATGCACATTCAGCAACTCTACCTTCAGTTCAATGAAATTGAAGCTGTGACTGCAAACTCATTCATTAATGCAACTCATCTTAAAGAAATTAACCTCAGCTACAACAAAATTAAATCTCAAAAGATTGATTATGGTGTGTTTGCTAAGCTTCCAAATCTACTACAACTTCATCTAGAACATAACAATTTAGAAGAATTTCCATTTCCCCTTCCTAAATCTCTGGAAAGACTCCTTCTTGGTTACAATGAAATCTCCAAACTGCAGGCAAATGCCATGGATGGGCTAGTAAACTTGACCATGCTTGATCTCTGCTATAATCACCTTCATGATTCTCTGCTAAAAGACAAAATCTTTGCCAAAATGGAAAAACTAATGCAGCTCAACCTCTGCAATAACAGATTAGAATCAATGCCTCCTGGTTTGCCTTCTTCACTTATGTATCTGTCTTTAGAAAATAATTCAATTTCTTCTATACCTGAAAAATACTTCGACAAACTTCCAAAACTTCATGCTCTAAGAATGTCACACAACAAACTACAAGACATCCCATATAATATTTTTAATCTTCCCAATCTTGTAGAACTCAGTGTTGGACACAACAAATTGAAGCAAGCATTTTATATTCCAAGAAATTTGGAACACCTATACCTACAAAACAATGAAATAGAAAGTATGTAGACTTTTATTGTGTTTTAAGGAGAGAAAGAATGGAAATCTGACCTTTTAAAGAAAAAAATCTTTAATAAGCTATGCTTTAGACATGGCTGAAAATGGTTGTTCTAAAGTTGGCTAAGGGAATGGCAGAAATTTGCCTCAGAGAAAGGTGTGCTATTCAGTTTATAGTCCTTCCTATTAAATTTAATTGTCTTAAATATTGAGACATGGGCTGGGCGAAATGGCTTATGCCTGTAATCAGAGTACTTTGGGAGACTGAGGCGCATGGATCACTTGAGGCCAAGAGTTCACGGCCAGCCTGGTCAATATGGTGAACTCCCATCTCTACTAAAAATACAAAAATTAGCCAGGCATGGTGGTGTACGCCTGTACTCCCAGCTACTTGGGAGGCTGAGACATGAGAATTGATTGAACCCAGATGTCGGAGGTTGCAGTGAGCTGAGATCGTGCCACTGCATTCCAGCCTGGGTGATAGAGCAAAAGTCTGTCTAAAAAAAAAAAATAAATTATAAATACACACACACACACACACACACACACACACCCACATTATATATATATATATAGAGAGAGAGATAATAGAGCATATCAAGAAATATGAGTATCCTAAGCAGTGGAATTGTAGATAATTTTTTTTGAAATTGTTCTATAGGAAATTATTGATCAGAAAAAATGAAGTCATTTATATTTTGGTAATATAAAACTCATTTACAATTTAATTTTCTTCATTGTGTTATTTAATATAAAACAAACTAAACCTACTTCAATTTATAATTATTTTAATTAACAGAATTATATTCCATACAACATAAAATCCAACATAGAATTATGGCTATAATTATGGATTATACTATAATGCAGGATTAATTTTTAATTTATTTCTTTCAGAGATGAATCTTACAGTGATGTGTCCTTCTATTGACCCACTACATCACCACCATTTAACATACATTCGTGTGGACCAAAATAAACTAAAAGAACCAATAAGCTCATACATCTTCTTCTGCTTCCCTCATATACACACTATTTATTATGGTGAACAAAGAAGTACTAATGGTCAAACAATACAACTGAAGACACAAGTTTTCAGGAGATTTCAAGATGATGATGACAGTGAAGATCACGATGATCCTGACCATGCCCATGAGGGCCCAGAACAAGAAGGAGCAGAAGGGCACTTTTACCCTCATTATTATGAAATTCAAGAATGGCGAGAAACTATATAGGTATACAATTATGACTTCACAAAACTTATACTTAATATAGTAAATCTAAGTAAACATGTATTACTCAAAGTAATATATTTAGAATTATGTATTAGTATAAGGTCAGAATTAAATTTAAGTTGTTGGTGACATCTGCATCATTTTATAGGATTAGAACTTACTCAAAATAATGCAAATCTTTAAAAATATAAATTAGAATGACAAGTGGGAATCATAAACTAAATGTTGTTTCTTATGCTCTTTATAAATATAGAAATAACATGTTTAAAAAAGTGAGTGTATCATTTCTAATAACAGTAATTTTTCTAAAAATGAGGAAGGAAGTAGCATTTAGCAGTAAAGACCCAGAAGTTATGACCTTTTTGATCACTCTGAGGACAATATTCAAACAACAGGAGGGCATATTAATGTAACAAGCATTTAATTAAGGAATAGCCCATTTTCTTTGACTGCTTCAGATAAGCTTTCACACTGGAATTTGTGATCTCATCATTATGACATCCATCCCCCTAGCCCACCATGTAGTGCATAAAATAATATTTTTGATTTGTAAGAGGCCATCCTACTAAGTACCCAAAGCATACAGATTCACAAAATGAACTAATCTTTTTTCCTCAGAGTACCAAAACAACAAAATTATAAATACTGTATTTGGAGAACTAAAAAACATCAAACGCTCTCATTGCAATTTGTATGTTAGCAAATTTCAGTAACTGTCCAAAACAATGTTATTGTGTTCCATTTTAACTGAGATAAATGTTTTTGTAATAAATACAACCACAGAAAGGTTTATTTGTTACAAAATGATTTGCAAAGAAATAATTGCTTTGTTCACAAGGTTAAGTTAAAGTTGGCAAAATAAAGTTAATGATATTACTAAACACTTGGCTAGGTGCCAGTGGCTCACTACTGTAATCCCAACACTTTGGGAGGCTGAGACGGGCAAATCATGAGATCAGGAGTTTGAGACCAGCCTGACCAATATGGTAAAACCCCGCCTCTACCAAAAATACAAAAAAGAGCCCAGCATGGTGGCACGTGCCTGTAGTCCCAGCTACTCAGGAGGCTGATGCAGGAGAATCACTTGAACCTGGGAGGCAGAGGTTGCAGTGAACCAAGATGCACTACTGACTCCAGCCTGGGCGACAGAGCGAGACTCCATCTCAAAAAAGAAAAAACAAAAACAAAACACTGTGTGCTTATCAGCCAATATCTACATAAGCTAAAATTAAATACAGTTCCTTTAAAATTTGAATGACCAGATAACAGGTTTTGACATCTTTAAAGCCTTAAAAATAACTCTTTCATTAATGTATCATGTTTAAGTATTTTAAGTATGCCTCACAATGCAGATTATCTAACTGCTGTGATAAACTCTCTTGACATACCATGTTAATGTTTCACTGAATTCTTCAGATAAGGGAAAAATACCAATCTGGGGCTATCTATACAAGGGACCCCAAAACAAATAATAACAATTCTGACAATACCCAACAGACAAGTCGAACTATATTTCAGAAGTAGTTTTCCAGCTTGCAAGTCTTTTTTTTCCCCCTGGAAATATCAGTTTAAATAAAGTCTTTAATGCCCTTTATATCTTTGAGGAGATTATCAGCATTATCAGAACCAGAACACTCACCTGTTCCCAGGGACAACCTCAAGAATACAGGATGAAAATAAACAAAACTCCATTCATTCATCTAATCAATGTTCATCAAGTCCTTTCTTATATAGGGCTTGATAATAAGGGATAAATAAACAAAGTACAATGTGTAACTATGATGCCATGATATGGGCAAAGCACATTTTCAACAGAGTTGAAACAAAAAATCTTAAGGCTGACCTCCCTTTTCTTGCAATTTTTAAAAACAGGGTATAAATTCAAACATCACGAGTTAATACGTGGAAAGTACTATGGGTGTTTTAGAAAATAACAAAGATAAGAGAATTTCCTTTTTTTTTTTTGAGACAATGTCTCGCTCTGTTGCCAGGTGCCAGGCTGGAGTGCAGTGGCACGATCTCGGCTCACTGCACCTCACCTCCTGGGTTCAGGCAATTCTCCTGCCTCAGCCTCCCAAGTAGCTGGGACCCAGGCACATGCCACTATGCCCAGCTAATTTTTGTATTTTAGTAGAGACGGGGTTTCACCATGTTGGCCAGGATGGTCTGGATCTCTTGACCTAATGATCCACCAGCCTCGGCCTCCCAAAGTGCTGGGATTACAGGTATGAACCACCATGTCCCGCCAAGATAAGACAATTTCTAACCTAGAGCGATTTAAAATTTATGAGCCATTAGGGAAATGTAAATAAAAATCATGATGAGATACCACTTCATGCTCATTAGGATGGCTGAAATCAAAAGGAGACAAATAAGTGTTGTCAAGAAAGTGGAAAAACTGGAGCTTTCATACACCACTGAAAAGGAGTGTAAATGCTGCAGCTGCCGTGGAAAGTAGTATGGAAGTTCCTTAAAAAGTTAGTTACATGGCCAGGTGCCATGTAATCCTGGCACTTTGGGAGGCTGAGGCCAGGAATCACGGAGGTCAGGAATTCAAGACCAGGCTGGCCGAGATGGTGAAACCCTGTCTACTAAAAATATAAAAATTAGCTGGATGTGGTGGCACGTGCCTGTAATCCCAGCTACTCGGGAGGATGAGGCAAAGAATTGCTTAAACCCAGGAGGCTGAGGTTGTAGTGAGCCGAGATCATACCACTCACTCCAGCAAAAAAAAAAAGTTAGTTACATATAACCCAGCAATTCCATTCCTAACTATATACCCAAGAGAACTGAACATGCATGTTCACACCAAAATTTGCATACAAATGTCCATAGCAGCATTATCCATAAGATACAAACCACCCAAATGTCCATCAATAGATCCACAAAATGTGGTATATCCATACAGTGGAATATTATTCAGCAATAAAAAGTAATAAAGCATTGACATATGCTATAACATGGATAAACTTTGAACTGGGAAATCTATGGAGACAAAGGTCACTGGTTGCCTAGAGCAGGGGATCACCGGAATGGGGGAAAGTGAGAAGTAACTGCTAATGGGTATACAGTTTCTTTTTTGGGGTAATGAAAATGTCCCAAAATTGACTGTGGTAATGGTTGTACAAATCCAAAATCACTAACGTCTATTAAATTGTATACTTCAGTCTGGGTGCAGTGGCTCATATCTGTAATCCTAGTGCTTTGGGAGACCAAGGTGGGAGAATTGTTTGAGGCCAGAAGTTCGAGACTGGCTTAGGCAACACAGTGAGACCCTGTCTCTACAAAAAATTTAAAAATTATCCAGGCATGGTGGCACGTGCCTGCGGTCTTAGCTATTTGAGAGGCTGAAGCAGAAAGACTGCATAAGCCCCAGAGATCAAGGTTGCAGTGAGCCGTGATCGCGTCTCTGCACTCCAGCCTGGCAACAGAATGAGACCCCATCTCTAAAAAAAAAAAAACCCAAAATAAATTATATACTTTAAAAGGATGAATTGTATTGAATGTGACTTATCTCAATAAAGCAGTTATTTGAAGAATTTAATAAAGAGAAGATCAAACAACTCACTGTAACACAAGGATGAAATAAAATGTTAATGTGGCAATAACTATGAAAAACTGTATAAGCACAGATACCATAACTTTCACATCTGGCGAGGACCTGGAGAAGTAGTTGAAGGCTCCCAGAAAAAAGTAATAAATGTGCAGCAGGAATTGACTGGCAAAAGTGGAGAGAACAAGCTCCTGAGTGGGGTTAACATAAAGACATGGTAATCAATTACTTGTTCTACTTCTTGCACAATTAAAAAAATTGAAAACCTTCATTTTCAGAACTCTGGAGTTTCAATTTGTATCTCCTCCTCAATGAATAAAAGAAAATACATTTGATTCTCAAAGAACAGCCTTAGCAAATAATAAAAATTGCAATTCAAATTTAGCAATTCTGGCTGGCATGGTGGCTTACGCCTATAATACCAGCGCTTTGGGAGGCTGAGGCAGGCAGATTGTTTAAGCTCAAGAGTTCTAGACCAGTCAGAGCAGCATGGTGAAACTCCATCTCTACTAAAAATAGAAAAATTAGCCAGGCAAGGCTGAGGTGGGAGGATCATCTGAGCCTAGAAAGTAGACATTGCAGTGAACTGAGATCATGCCACCGCACTTCAGTCTGAGTGTCAGAGTGAGATCCTGTTTCAAAAAATAAAAGCAAATTTAGCAATTCAAAACAAGGAATCTGATATAAGAGCTATGTGGGTATAAAGCCTGACATGACACTTCTAAGCTAGATGACTCTCAATTAGTTATTTAGTTTCTCTAAGTGTCTCTTTCTTTGTTTTCAAAAAAAGATGGTTTCCATAAGGTTGTCATAAGGATAAAGACAAATAATAGATATAATAAAGCACATAAAGTGCACATGAGTTGCAGGAACAGTAAGGCTCACTGCAGCACATCTGGCCCAGCAGCCCACAGATCTGGATGCTGCACACTCCTAGGTGCTCACACTATTTTTCCTGGCACACAAAACAGTCAGCATCTTTTTGGGTTCCTTCAAACATTCCACTCATACAAAAGAGTAGTAGACAAGAGAGACTACTAAGGGTTTCACTAGGGTGCTTAAATCACATATCTCATAACTACTTTACAATCACTATTGGACTGTGCAGCTTTTCAAAGCACTATCTGAATGGCCCACCAGGGTGAGGATGGCAGGGTTCCCTCCATCCACTCACAAGGCACTGGGATGCTAGCTTCTCTGACCCAGAGTGTGGTCAAACTCTTTCTGTTTATTAGTAAGAACAGTTCAACTCTGCGCGGGCTCCTCCCTCTAAAAGTGCATATAAGTAAATGCATCCCATGTCCTCTAGCTCAAGATCCAATGGGGAGGCAGATTAACAATCATTTTTTGGTACTTGAAAATGCCTTAACTCAAACCTGCCCAAGTATTTCTCATTAAAAACAAAACAAAGAAAAACTTCAGTGCTTTCCCTGGGAGACAATGAAGAATAAAGAATTTTCTTTAAGTAGTACATTAAGACTGCAGTTACCTATCAGAGCTACAAACTAAACCAGATGATTTGATATTTATAGCAGGAAAGAAAAATGTAAAAATTCATTTATTATTTTTTTCATTATACCACCAAGTATTTAGTTATGTTAGCTAATAGGCTAAACTGTAACTATTAACAAATAAGTCCAAATTGTACCATAAACCCAAGGTTAATTAACAAATATAAATGTATAATGAACATACATTTAACTTTTAGAAAGGAAATTTTAAAAAGGATACTTCAAAAATTTGTTCATGATAATACTGGTTGAGAATGTTTAGCCAGTGTTTAAGTATTACCTGAAACACTACACATTTTCACCCTATTTCTCAAGTTTGGGACCACTAAACTAAAATACAGATGTATGCATGTTATATAACACACTTAACCAGCTCCATGAGGTAAAAAAGAAAATAGAAGAAATAAACCTTGTCTGTTCTATATAATTTTTCTGTTTTAAGAATTCATATGTCCCCAAGGATGGCTAGACCTAAAGACCTGGTTTCCTGATTCTAAGTCTATTTCTTCTACATCTTGGAAATAAAGTATAAGAGCAGCTGGAAACAAAATTAAATCATAACAGCTAAACATCTGAAGTTTCTTATATGTTCCAATTTCCTAAATAGATATAACTATGCCAAGTTATAAATCTGCCTAGTTATAAATATCATAACATCATGGACACATCTTGCATCACTTTACATGTTTAGGTTATGAATTCACTATACAGAGATTTATGTACTACTGAGAAAAAGTAAATTCACAAATAAGATACAATTTTACCATGAGCTCTTCCTTACATTGAGTCATAATTCCTCTCCATATAAATTTGACCCTTTAGTTTAGGAAGTAGAATACATGGGTTCTCATATTTCTTGTTCGAACTAGGCCTCAAGCATAAGTATGAGATTTAAGATGGAGAGCCAAACCACAGACTTTCCACAAAATCAAGATTGCTGGATTAAAAAGGGTGCACGAGTATCTAGTAACTCAGCAGTTCTCAATAGGAATGATTTTGCTCCCCTAACTCCCACCCACCGTGGACAACTGGCAATGTCTGGAGACATTTTTGGTCATTGCACAGTGGAGTACCACTACTAGCATCTAGTGTGTAGAGGGCAGAAGTGCTGCTAAACATCCTACAGTGCACACAGGCTAGCCCCCACAAAAGAGAACTATCAAGCCCAAAATGTCAGTAGTGCAGAGGCTGAAGAACTCTGTAGTAACCAGATTCTAGTTCAATAGATAAAGAAACTGTGGCCTAAAATGTTAAAGAACTTGCCCACAATCAGGGGAAGATTCATGACGAATCAGAACTAGAACTCGGCTGGGCTGGGCACAGTGGCTCACGCCTATAATCTCAGCACTTTGGAAGGCCTAGGCAGGCAGACCACCTGAGGTGGGAAGTTCGAGACCAGCCATTCCAACATGGAGAAACTCTGTCTCTACTAAAAATACAAAAATTATCTGGGCATGGTGGGCGCACGCCTGTAGTCCCAACTACTCCAGAGGCTGAGACAGGAAAATCACTTGAACCCAGGAAGCAGAGGTTGCAATCAGCAGAGATCACACCATTGTACTCCAGCCTGGCGACAGAGCAAGACTCTGTTTCAAAAAACAAAACAAAAAACAAAACTAGGCCGGGCGCGGTGGCTCACGCCTGTATTCCCAGCACTTTGGGAGGCCAAGGTGGGTGGATCACGAGGTCAAGAGATCGAGACCATCCCGGTCAACATGGTGAAACCCCATCTCTACTAAAAATACAAAAAATTAGCTGGGCATGGTGGTGCGTGCCTGTAATCCCAGCTACTCAGGAGGCTGAGGCAGGAGAATTGCCTGAACCCAGGAGGCGGAGGTTGCGGTGAGCCGAGATCGCGCCATTGCACTCCAGCCTGGGTAACAAGAGCGAAACTCCGTTCCAAAAAAAAAAAAACAAAACAAAACTAGAACTCGGGTGTTCTGACTACTTAACCAAATGATTTCCTACAAAGTTAGAGAATGAAGATGAAAATAGGGAAAAGACTGTTCCAGTTTGTAGCATTTATTGAAAGCTAATCCATGTGGAGGTTATATGGTCTCTATCAGAATTAAACCACTTCCCAAAACGACTTTTTCCCTGAAAACTCGTTTCCGAAAGTCCATTCCATTCAACACATTTTTTTCATTGCCAACAGACCAATGATACGCTTTCAAGGAAATAAAACCCCTATAAGGCACCAAAGATAATGCAATAGGGTCACCTAAAAGGACTCCACAGAAGCCAAGGTGGGAAGATCACTAAGGCCAAAAGTTCCAGACAAGTCTGGGTAACATAAGGAGATCCCTTATAAAAAAATTTATTTTTGAGATGGAGTTTCGCTCTTGTTACCCAGGCTGGAGTGCAATGGCATGATCTCGGCTCACTGCAACCTCTGCTTCCTGGGTTCAGGCAATTCTCCCGCCTCAGCCTCCTGAATAGCTGGGATTACAGGCACACGCCACCATGCCCAGCTCATTTTTTGTATTTTTAGTAGAGACAGGGTTTCACCATGTTGACCAGGATGGTCTCGATCCCTTGACCTCATGATCCACCCACTTCGGCCTCCCAAAGTACTGGGATTACAGGCTTGAGCCACCGCGCCCAGCCAAAAAAAAAAAATCTTTTTTAATTAGCCAGGCATGGTGGTGCATGCATCAAGTCCCAGTTACTCAGAAGGCTGAAATGGGAGGATCATTTGGGCCCATGAAGTTGAGGCTGCAGTGAGTTATGACTGTGTCACTGCACTCCAGCTTGGGCAACAGAGAAGACCCTGTCTCCAAAAAAAGAACTCCATAAAGAAGACTTTTTCATCTTTGGATGCAATGCCTGCTCTTGAATATGAGGCAGATTTCATCTTTCACTCCTGTGGAGTGAAAGCTAAATAGCTTTCTATCAGCATTCATTTCTTTCTGGAATAGAAAACCATCTGTTTCAAGCATTTTCTTTGAGTACTATGTAGTAAAGGTTTTGGCTTTGCCTAAAGAGAAGTCTGGGTTTTGCCTTGGCTTCTAAGAGTTGATCTATGTTATTTTCGATAGGAGTGTTTTTGTTTAGGGTGAGATCAGCCACACCTGATAGTCTTAAGGTTGAGGTGGCCATGCCAGAAAGACTAACCATGTGATATAGGATAAGGGATTTGGGTTATGCATTATCAGTGGACCAGGAGGCTGAATTCAATCAATCAATCAATCAATCAAACCTATTAATAAAACCGCAATAAGAACTCTGAACACTGCTAATAAACTTGCCTTGTTGGCAATAAGCCATGTACACTGCCACATATCAACGCCAGGAAAGCAATGCATCCAGAGAACAATGGAAGCTTCAAGTTTGGAGCCCTCTATACTCTGCCCTATGCATCTCTTCCCTGGCTGATTTTTAGGGATATCCTTTCTCTATATAAACCATAACCATGAGTATAACGGTCTTAAGTGAGTTCTGAGAATTCTCCTAGGGAAATATCAAATGTAATAAGAGTGGTTTTGGGAATCCCCTGAACTTGTTGTTGGTAGCAGAAGTGCAGGTAATGCCCATCTTGGGATTATTTGGAGACTATTTCCTTCTCCATCTGTGAAGAAGCGGGCTACAATGTTGTAAGCTGCCCTATGGAGGATGTCACATGGGAAGAAACTGAGGGAAGCCTTCAGTCAACAGCTAGCAAGAAACTTAGGTCCACAGTCTCACATTCTGCAAGGAACTGAATGCCGCCAACAACCACATGGGCTCAAAACTGGATCCTTCCCTATTCAACCACTGAAGTGAGGCTGCAATGCCAGATGTACTTCAAATGCAGATCCTGAAGCAGACAATCAAGCAAAGCCATGCTGAATTCCTGACCCACAGAAACTGTGATATAATAAATGTGTGTTATTTTAACTAAGCCATTCCTTTGTGGTAGTTTTTTACATAGTAATATATAACCACTATAATAGATGAACAGTGGTATTCTTCAACAATGCAACATTAGAGGAATGCTTCTAAAATGCAAACAGGATCATATTTAAGCCATCACTGGCTTAAAAAAAATCTCTCCATGGTCTCTCACTGACTACAAACTAAAGTCCAAATACTTTAGCAGGATATAAAATACTCCCCTTAATCCAACCTCTATTCCCGCTCTCTAGGCGCATCTCTTAATACGGTCCATTCCCCTGACTTCTCTCTCTCCCTCAAAGCTCCAGTAGTATGCAAAATATATATATAAATTTTCTAAATGATCTACCCCCATCCCTTCTGCTCACATGATTCTTCCCTTGCCTAGAACATCTCTCATCACTTATCCCATCACCTAACCTTCCCACCTATCCCATCACTTACCCTCCTCCCTTAACCTTTCTATAAAAGTCAGCTTGTGGCTTCTCCCAGGTTATCACAGAACTCTGTACATTTCTGTGTAGCAAGCCCTACCATTATATTCTACTTGCTTCTTTGCTGCTTTTCTTACTGAAGTTAGAGGCAATAAATGTTCCTTGAGGGAAGAAACTGAAGTTTGTTTAACTGAGTTTATGGGTCTGAAGTTCTGGCATAGAACTGGTGCTCAATAAACTTTTATTAAATGAGTGAATGCTAATAACATTGTATTCACTGGTCATAATTTTTCAAGGAAAGTTGTTATCCACAAAATAATTTTCTGTAGTACAAAGTATCAAAGTGTACAATTAATGAAACTATGAATCTCTAAGATTCTCTATTTGGACATATGATATCTATCCAGTTTACTTCTCAACATCTTGTTAACTTGCCACACAATACAAAACAAATCAATGTCTGTTGTTTCATTATTATATATTTCAAAATCTTTAAAACATTTTATCGTATGCTTGAAGTCATAAAACTGACAATTTATACCAACTCGAGCTAGACAATACGACAACTAAATTTAAGACAATTCACATTCAAATAAACACTTCAGTATTCAAGTCTTAGTTTATTTAAGCTTTGATTTGAAAGGTTCTAAAACCAATTTTCTAGAGAAGAAAACAAATGGGTATTCTTTCATTTTTATTTTAATAAAATAGGTATCCATATTTGTTACATTTTTACCTTAAAGGAGAAAATGTTACTTTGATTGTTAAAAACACCAAAGAGAAATTTTTAAAAAGTGAATCTTTAAAAAAAAAAATCTTTAAAGTTGCTTGTATGGTATCTATAATGCCACTTTAACTTTTTAAACTCAATTTTAACATTAAAGTTTTTTTTGTTGTTGTTTTTTGAGACGTAGTTTTACTCTTGTTATCCAGGCTGGAGTGTAATGGCATGATCTCGGCTCACAGCAACCTCCGCCTCCTGGGTTTAGGCAATTCTCCTGCCTCAGCCTCCCGAGTAGCTGGGATTACAGGCACGCGCCACCATGCCCAGCTAATTTTTTGTATTTTTAGTAGAGACGGGGTTTCACCATGTTGACCGGGATGGTCTTGATCTCTTGACCTCGTGATCCACCCGCCTTGGCCTCCCAAAGTGCTGGCATTACAGGCTTGAGCCACCGCGCCCGGCCCAATATTAAAGTAATTTTATAAAGTTTCCTTTATTCAGCAAAGAAAAGTCTCTTTTACTATCAATCTTAAAAACTATAAATCAAATTTACTTTTAAAAAGCTAATTTTTATGCATGAGTTTTTCTTATATGTAACTCAAATAATGGGGAGAAAAAAACCCAAATGACAAAACTATAAAATAATTTGTGCTAAAACTAATTTTTACACTTGAATTTTCTTGGCTATATATTAATTATGGTCCTAGGGCAGTATTTTTAATTCTCACAAAATTAACAACATGGACTATGTTTTTATTTGGTGTTCTATTTCATTCAAAAAGCAGATGTTTAATCTGGGAAATCACCAAAATGAAAAGCATGACTTTATAACTATATCATTTTCATAAACTCATTTCATCAAAACATGAGTATTTATTACACAATAATAAAATGACACAAGTTTACAGTCAATTAGTCGAAGCAGAGTGAGTGTGGCAGTTATAACAAATATCTTAAGTACAGTTCTCCAGTACAACACACTGCATTTCACCCTAGAGAAAAAATGCTGGCAAAGATCTCTACCACATGGAAACTGCCCTTAAGCTGCTGGGCCCTGAAATTTTATTCAGCAGTTTGAAATCAAGCCATAGCTTTTCTCATTCACCCTCCCACTTGGGGCTAATGCACAGACAAGAACATCTATTGAGGAAAACCACAAAAAACTTCAAAACAGCTAAAACGGTAGGCTTACTTTTCACATATTATTTTAAATATCGTTTGTTAAAGTGTGACTCATCTAATAGTCTTAATAAATGTAAAGACCATCTCCGGTTTGTTTCAGTTACCTCAAACAATTAATTTTTAACAAGTACTTATGTATATCATTGCATAATTTTAACATCCACGCAGGCAAGAATAGGGTGCTGCAAAAGTCACAAATCCATTTTATTCTTCATTTTCAACCTCTGGATTTTTGACAAACTGGCATCTATAATGCAGCATCAGCAACTGTGAGTGATTCTGCTTGAAGTTACTTAAGAAAAAGTCTGAAATGTGTACCCACCAGATAAAATCCATTGATGAGTCTAAAGGAACCCTTTCTATTACATTCCTCAGAGTTCCTTGATTAAAGTCTGGTATTTCCTCCAGCCTGCAATACTATTCTTTCAATTTTCATAGTTTAAATTAAAAATACAATATTATTAACTAAAAACTGTGATCACTTATTAAAATTACAAAACTACGAAAATTAAAAACATATGGCTTTTCCTATATTCTGTACCACCTAAAGGTAAGTGTTAATGACTACTTTTCATAATGTTAAATTTAAGATTTAAGTTTTAAAACTTTTCTTGGAACTTGTTTCTGTTCATACCAGTACAAATCAAGAGTTCTTATAAAGTAGCTAAGTTGAAATATGATATTTTTAACTCACATGAGACAGGATCTTGGGACTTCATTTTAACTATTTATACTACAGGTATCCTAAGAATATTTCAATTAAATATTTGTATGTCTGTCCCAGGCACTTAATTATTAAGAAACTTAAATCATCAATCTTTCTTGAATTTCTGATAGAGAAGAAATAAAACTATTTTCTGAAACTATTTTTCATAACGCTCACTGATACATAAAAACTGCTAGCATCTAATTAAAGATCACTAAGGGTTAAACACTGTTCTCTGGCCCTTACTGCGCACACCCTGCCAAAACATCCTCTAAGCTTTTAAATATTGCTTCGATGGTCTGAATTTTTATTTCCAGGGAAAAAGAGAGTTTTGTCCCACAGTCAGCAGGCCACTAGTTTATTAACTTCCAGTCACCTTGATTTTTGCTAAAATGAAGACTCTGCAGTCTACACTTCTCCTGTTACTGTTTGTGCCTCTGATAAAGCCAGCACCACCAACTCAGCAGGACTCACGCATTATCTATGATTATGGAACAGATAATTTTGAAGAATCCATATATAGCCGAGATTATGAGGATAAATACCTGGATGGAAAAAATATCAAGGTACTTTATTTCTACTCTAAATTTAGTTACTAAAATACTGCCCATTTAAATGCATGTTTTTGTTTTTTCTGAATGTGTCTGATAAGGTAAGGGGAAGGGAAAGTCACTTTAAATGATTCAAACAAATTCATAATTGTCCCTAAGATTATATTTTTAGAGTATCCATGCTTTCCAAACTAATAAACAGTACCTGTCGTATCCAAACAGTATCTATAGTAATGAAAAAATAAAACTTAAGGAAAACTAGACTTTAAGATGATCCCTGACTAGTTGCAATTTATATATTAAGTAATATTACACAATGCCCTATATTTGCAATGTTGTTCTGCCTCAAAAATAAATTAGTGGAAATGTATATTTGGAGAAATAAATATGAATTATCAGCTTAAGGTTATTATTACAGAAAAAAATTTAAGAATATAAATAGAAGAGTACTGGTTATTTTCATATAAATAGCATCTCACATTATTTTATATATGCCATCTACATACAGTCCCCAAAACCGAAAACCTACTCAGTATAGGGCTTTATTTTTAAATCAATTTTAACAGTTTAGATCCTCTATCAATTTGTACCAAGAAACTGTAACTGTCATTGAGTTAACACTCTGGGGATTACATTATACCACATCATTCATTCCCTACCTTTATGGGCAAAGTAATTAATTGTAGTTTTTCTTGGCACACAGAAATGAATGCTGGGTAAGGAAAAATTTAATACAGCACATCGGTATCTGTTGCCCACTGTGTATGACACACACACACACACACACACACACACACACACACAGAGGAAAATGAGAAATTCAGCAATATTGTTTCAGAAGTTCTTCTCCACTTTAAATTGGATGATAATGATTATAAGATTGACCAGTTACAATTACTACTTTCTCTTTTCTTTTTTGCAGGGATAAACAATGAGCAAATGTTAACACCACAGTTTCTTTCAAGTAATGCTTTTAATATGATAGCATTATTTTTGCCCATCAATAAAACACAAAGGATAGGTATTACTAATTATAGCTTCAAATAAAGATAAAAAAAGGCCCATCATAACATAAGCTAGTGGTTCACTTGGATGACTTGAATCTATTAAAAACACTTTCAAGATTCCCTGGTTCCTAAAGAGTTTAGAGATGATTTTTCTCTCTGCTTCTTCTCTTTACAGGGCTTTAGAAGTTTATCTTAACATAAATGCAGGGACTAAGATACTTGTGGAGTAGAGTAGAATTCAACAGGACTTGATGTGCAAACACAGAGTAAAGGGAGGAAGTTCAACCACCACACAGATGGGAGAATGAAGGTGAAGGGCAGAGTCGTGAGTCATGACCGAGACTAAAATGAAACATGCTTACAAAGGACATAAAGAGTAGGATACTACATAATACACTGTAATCTAATGGCAGAAAATGTACCCACCAAGAACAAGAAAAAGAGAGATTAAATTATATTGACTCCAATTTCCCCAGAATTAATGGCTTATACTAGTGGCCTAAGCAGGGTAGGTAGGCTGGAATAAAAGGGTTCCAAGAGCCAGGGCTTAATGGAGGAATAGCTAAGTAAAGGTTAACCACAAGAAGAGACCAAAAGACCTTAATCAGGAGTTTACACTTGTGACATGGCTGGAGATCTAGCCTTGTTCAAAATGGCAGAATCTGAATGAGAAACTCAGTTCAGATAAGACCTCTGAGGAATAGTTTCACCTCACAAAAGCTTTCATTCCAATTGAGGGAATTCTCACCTAGCTCTCATTTGGAATTTCAACATATTCAATATTTATTAAGCACTGAGTTCAGCCACTGAAGATATAAAATAAAAACACCCAATTCTTTTACTCAAGGAGCTCATAGTCTAAAATAAAGTCAAGCTAAAAAACATTTATATTGTAATTTAATAAATAATAAAATGGAAATAGGTATGAAAGCCTAATGAAGCACAAATAAAATGCCACTAATTGTAACAATGAGAAGGTGGTGTCTGTGATCCCTCAGTTTTACAGTCAAACATAGACTTAACGCAGGTAACAAACTTTTATTTTTCCAATAGGAAAAAGAAACTGTGAGAATACCCAATGAGAAAAGTCTTCAATTACAAAATGATGAGACAATAACACCATTACCTCCCAAGAAAGAAAATGATGGTAAGTATTACCTAAATATTTTTCAAAAAGAATATTTTAACAATAGCTATAATGGACTTTACTCCTTGTGGTAATCAAAAATATAGTAAATACAAACAGTGGAGTTTTATTTCCAATGATAAAATCAGATGGGTATACTAGGAGTGCACACCATTTGCCATCGCACATCATGAGTGAGAAATGTGAAACAAGAACATTTGAGAATAACCAAAGCTTGGGCAAGCCTAGCCTCCATAAACTGTGGTTACTGTCCATATAAAATCAATTCAAGAAATACTTAAACACTGATAATTTGCCAAATATAATGTAGAGCCTCAGAATGTGGTAAATATAATTATTGCCTTTAAGAAACTCACAGAACAGAAACAGATATATACATAAATAGCTATCATGTACATTTCAATTTTAGAAAACTTGTCATGAAATAACAAATTACAAGTCCTGCTTAATAATACCTCTGTACTTGGTTCACTCTTGCTCTATCACAGAACATTATTTTACATGAAAACATGAAAAAGACCCACATATTAATTATTTTTATTTTTGGGGTGGGGGGAACAGTCTCACTATGTTACCCAGAGTGGAGTGCAAAGGGATGATCTCAGCTCACTGCAACCTCCGCCTCCTGAGTTAAAACGATTCTCCTGTCTCAGCCTCCTGAGTAGCTGGGATTATAGGCATGTACTACCAAGCCCGGCTAATCTTTTGTATTTTTAGTAGACACACGGTTTCCCCAAGTTGGCCAGAATGGTCTAGCACTCCTGACCTCATGATCCACCCATCTCAGCCTCCCAAAGTGCTGTGATTACAGGTGTGAGCCACCACACCTGGCCAACACACATTTCTTTCTTTCTTTTTTTTTTTTTTGAGATGGAGTCTCACTCTGTCTGGTGTGCAGTGGCGCAATCTCAGCTCACTGCAACCTCCACCTTCCGGGTTCAAGTGATTCTTCTGCCTTAACCTCCCGAGTAGCTGGGATTACAGGCGTGTACCACCATGCCCAGCTAATTTTGTATTTTTAGTAGAGATGGGATTTCACCATATTGGTCAGGCTGGTCTTGAATTCTTGACCTCGTGATCCACCCAGCTCAGCCTCCCAAAGTGCTGAGATTACAGGTGTGAGCCACCACGCCTAACTGATTTCTACATTGCTACAATAAAATGAAAATGAACCATAAAATAATGCTTAAAAAATGAGAAGTACGAAAGTAAAATTAAATTTGAATAAATTTAAAGACATCCCTTGTTCTTGGATAGAATGACTCAAAATCATAAAGATGTCAGTTCTTTCTAAATTTCTAATTTTAAACAATCCAACTAAAATCACCAATAATTTTTTTTTATAAAGCTGGAGAAATGTATTCTAGAATTCATATGACACAACATGTAACAAATAGCAAGGGAAACAATGAACAATGACAAATATATATAGGAATCAGATGCACTACACATTAAAATATATTATAAAAACTCTATACTTTAAAAAGTACGATACTAGTATATGAATAGACAAAAAGATCAATGAAATAGAATAGAAAGTCCAAAAACAGACAAAAATACACATGAAAATTTAGTACATAATAAAGGTACCAACTCAAATCACTGAAGCAGGATGGGGTTTTTAAAAAGTGGTGCTGGGAGAAATGGCCATTTACACACAAAAATAAGCTCCTATATTATTTTAGATTAGCTATCTGTATGTATAAAACAAAACCATACAAGTACTAGAAAAGAATCTGGGTACAGGGTGCCTCAAAATCCAGAGGCAATAATAGAAAAGAATAAATTTGACCCCACAAATTCATGTGACAAAGTCTTACACAACTAAAAACAGGGAAGGGGCCGAGCACGGTGGCTCATGCCTGTAATTCCAGCACTTTGGGAGGCCGAGGCGGGTGGATAACAAGGTCAAGAGATCGAGAACATCCTGGTCAACATGGTGAAACCCCATCGCTACTAAAAATACAGAAAAAAATTAGTTGGGCCTGGTGGCGCGTGCCTGTAATCCCAGCTACTCAGGAGGCTGAGGCAGGAGAATTGTCTGAACCCAGGAGGCGGAGGTTGCTTTGAGCCGAGATCATGCCATTGCATTCCAGCCTGGGTAACAAGAGCAAAACTCCGTCTCAAAAAAAAACTGGGATGAATATTTGCAACATATACTACAAATAAATAACTAGATAAAGAGCTAGTATCTCTAATTTATAAAGAACTTTTAAAAATCAAGGAAAAGAGATTAAACAAAAGTCCATTAGAAAAATGACAATTCACAAGATGTTTTAAATGATTTGACTCAAATAAATGTTCAATCTCATACAGAGACATACAAATTAAAAATATATTGAGGTACCATTTCTAACCTATATGACTGAAAAAACTTGAAGTATGACAACACATTAATATTTTCCATGAACAAGGCTATGGGGTAAGACAGTCATACACTGCAGCAGGAAGGGCAAATCAGCACAATGCTTTTAGACAGGAATTTGGCAATACCCAGCAAAATCAAAAATGCATTTACTTTTTGACATAAGAATCAAATTTGAGAATTTTTTTTTTTTTTTTTGGAGACAGAGTCTCTAGCTCTGTTGCTGAGCCTGGTGTGCAGCAATGCAATCTCAGCTCACTGCAACCTCTGCCATCTGGGTTCAAGCGATTCTCCTGCCTCAGCCTCCTGAGTAGCTGGAATTATAGGTGTGCACCACTAGGCCAGGCTAATTTCTGTTTTTTTAGTAGAGATGAGTTTCACCATGTTGGTCAGGCTGGTCTTGAACTCCTGACCTCAAGTGATCACCCTGCCTTGGCTTCTCAAAGTGCTGGGATTACAGGCATGAGCCACCACACCCAGCCAACTTTGAGAAATTTATCTTTATGATATACTCCAAAATAAATACAAATGCAAAATCACTAAAGCATTGCTTGCAATTGCAAAATATCAGAAATAATTTAACTGCTCAAACACTGAAGAGTAGTTGAATAAACAAGGGTAGATCCAACAGAACAGAACACTATGCAGGTGTAAAAATGAATGAGGAAGATCTCTAAGAACTAAAATGGAGTGATTTCCAGGATATACTATGTGAAAAAAAGCAAAGTGCAAAAGAGTATCTATAATATGCTGTCTTTCATGTAAGAAAGAAAGGGACATAAGAAAATATATATGTATCTGCTTATTTCTATGAAAATAAATACAGGATAAAAAGAAATTGTGGGAAAGGGGATGGCAGTTCTCTGAGTATACACTTTTTAATGTACATTTAATTTTTAGAACAATGCTGTTTCGTAGTCAAAAAACCAATAATACATATATAAATGAAATCAACAAGAACAAAGTAAAAAGAACCCAAATTGGAATACAAACATAAAAACATAAACTTAATTGTATTTCAAATTAATAACACCCTAATGTAAGAATAAAATCTAATTTAAGTAACCGTTAAACATAGTATTTTGGCAACATACCTTCGGGCTAAGGGCAAAAAAGAACTGCAAACAAATATTAAATTCCAGTGAGTAGGTTTGTTATGCACAGTGTTATGACTTAGCAATACTGGAACTATTTAATGTGTGTGCCAGAACTAAGTAAATATACTGTAAATAATGAGAGCCAGGTTCCACACTGTAAGAGAAACATTACAAATCTGGAAATGTGGAAGGCTAGAAAGAACACTGTGGAGTTGGTTTGGAATAGAGTATACCAGTATTAACTCACGGTTTGTACATATAAAGAGATACAGAAATATAGACATGCTTATCTCTGTTTATCTCTGTGTGTTCTTATGTATACATATGAGTATAGGATATATATATGCATGTATATTATATATGTTTATATCCATATATATATTGCATGTATGTGTATTGTCTACAGAGAAAGAAATATACACACACATTTATTTCCTAGCTCTCTCTGCTGAAAGGGCCCGGAAACAACATAATCTCAATGGCAATGATCACCCTAGCAGCTACATCTTGGTTTCTAATACCATTCTCCACTAAAAGAAACCAATGCTGGCCGAGTGTGGTTGCTCATGCCTGTAATCTCAGCACTTTGGGAGGCCAAGGTGGGTGGATCACCTGAGGTCAGGAGTTTCAGACAAGCCTGGCCAACATGGCAAAAGCCCATCTCTGCTAAAAACACACACACAAAATTAGCCTGTCGTGGTGGCACATGTCTGTAATCCCAGCTACTCAGGAGGCTGAGTCAGGAGAATTGCTTGAACTCAGGAGGCAGAGTAGCAGTGGGACGAGATTGCGCCACTGCATTCCAGCCTGAGCAAAAGAGTGAGACTCTGTCTCAAAATCAAACAAATGAACAAACACAAAAAACCCCAATACTTCCTTAAGTGATAGCTGATTTCAGGGTTGGAGCAGGAAAAATGCAAGGTTTGTTTGGGACATCTTGCAATGTTAGAAAATAAGGAAGTTCTCTGGACGGGTGCAGTGGCTCACACCTGTAATCCCAGAACTTTGGGAGGCCAAGGCGGGTAGATCACAAGGTCAGGAGTTTAAGACCAGCCTGGCCAACATGGTGAAACCCTGTCTCTACTAAAAATATAAAAATTAGCTGGACACAGTGGCAGGCACCTGTAATCCCAGCTACTTGGGAGGCTGAGGCAGGAGAATTGCTTGGACCTCGGGGACGGAGGTTGCAGTGAGCTGACATCATGTCACTGCACTCCAGCCTGGGTGACAAAGGGAGACTCTGTCTCAAAAAAAAAAAAAAAAAAAAAAGAAAAAGAAAAAAGAAGGAAGTTCTCAAAGAATAATGGGGACATTAATTTTTTAAATTTTTATTTAGTGTGTGTGCGTGTGTGTGTGTGTGAGAGAGAGAGAGAGAGACAGAGAGAGATACGATCTTGCTCTGTTACCCAGGCTGGAGTACAGTGGTATGGTCACAGCTTACTGCAGTCTTGACCTCCTGGGCACCAGCAATCCTCCTGCCTCTGCCTCCTAAGTAGTTGGGATTATAGGTATGTGCCACCACACCTCACTAATTTTTGTATTTTTTTTGTAGAGATGAGGTTTCACCATGTTGGGCAGGCTGGTCTTAAACTCCTATACTCAAATGACCCACCTTCCTTAGCCTCCAAAAGTGCCAGGATTACGTACATGAGCCACTGCACCTAGCCTCCCGACAAAATGTGTTTAAATCCATCAAAATATATGAAAGAAATAGATACAAAAGATGTATATGGGAAGGCTGAGGTGAGAGGATTGCTTGACTTCAAGAGTTTGAGACTAGCTTGGACAACATAGTAATACCATGTCTCTACAAAAAATTTAGCTAACAAAGAGCCAGGCGTGGTGGCACAAATCTGTAGTCCCAGCTACTTGGGAGGTTGAGGCAGGAGGATTGCTTGAGCCAGGGAGGTCAAGGTTGCAGTGAACCATGATCATGCCACTGTACTCCACCCTGGGTGACAAAGTGAGATCCTGTCGCAAAAAAAAAAAAAAGTCTGTAAGACTTATACACTAAAATCTGCTGCTAAGAGAAATTAAAGAAGATCTACATATAAGCATATAAGGAGAAACGTATTATGTTCAAGGTCTGGAAGACTCAATATCATTAAGATGTCAGTTTTCCCCAACACAATCCCAATCGAAATCCTAATAGGTTTTTTTTATTTAATTAACAAGCTGATTCTAAAATATATATAAAAATGTAAAGGACCTAGAAAAAACAACATCGAAGAACAACAAAGTTGTAGGATTTATAATAGGAAGACTATTATAAAGGCACAGGAATCAAGACACTGCAGTATTGGCATAAAAATATTAGAGTAGATCAACAGAACAAAACAGCATCCAGAAACAGGCTAACATGAAGTAAACAACTAGTTCTTGACAATGTGACAACACTATTCTATGGAAAAGGATAGTCGTTCTCAAAAATGGTGTTGAAAGAACCAGGTAACTGTAAAAATTTTTCAAAAAAAATCTTAACCCTTCCTGGTACCATACAAAAAATTAGCCCAAAGTATACCCCATACCTAAAGGTAAAGAGCTTAAAGTATACAACTTTCTAGAAGAAAGCAAAGTGTCAAATCTTAGTGGTTAGTAAACATTTCTTTCTTTTTTTTTTTTTTTTTGAGACGGAGTTTCGCTCGTTACCCAGGCTGGAGTGCAATGGCGCAATCTCGGCTCACCGCAATCTCCGCCTCCTGGGTTCAGGCAATTCTCCTGCCTCAGCCTCCCGAGCAGCTGGGATTACAGGCACGCACCACCGTGCCCAGCTAATTTTTTGTAATTTTAGTAGAGACGGGGTTTCACCAAGTTGACGAAGATGGTCTCGATCTGTTGACCTCGTGATCCACCCGCCTCGGCCTCCCAAAGTGCTGGGATTACAGGCTTGAGCCACCGCGCCCAGCCAGTAAACATTTCTTAAATACAACACAGAAACCATGAATTATAAAGGAATCAACTGTTCTTCATTAAAACTTAAAATGTTTCAATTCCAAAAGACATTGATAAGAGAAAAAAAAAGACAAGTCATCAAAGAAAATATATGAATGGCAAACAAACACATAAAAAGATGCTACATCATTAGTTATCAGAGAATGTAAATTAAAACACAATGAGATACTGTAACATGCTCTACATTTCAATCACTACAATTAAACAGACTGACCATTCCAAATGTTGGCAAGGATGTGGAACAGCTGGAACTCTCATATGCTGTTGTTAGGACTGTGAAATGGCACAGTCCTTTGGAAACTGTTTGATACTTTCTTCAAAAGATAAAACATACATTTATAATAAGACCCAGCCATTCCATTCCTTAGGTATTCACCCAAGAGAAATGAAAGCATTAAGTCCACAGAAACTTATACATAAGTTTCTTTGAAATAGTGAAACCTGGAAATAACCTAATGTCCATACAAAATGACCATGTAAATTGTATACAATGAGACAATGAAATACTACTGAGTAATAAAGAAAAATGAACTACTGATACAGATTGAAACTCAAAATAGTAATACTGAGCGAAAGAAGCCAGAAAATAGAGTAGATACTACACAATTCTTTTAATATAAAATTCTCCTAAATGCAAACTGATGTATATTACCAAAAGCAGGTCAGTCATTGCTTGAGGACAAGAGTGAAAGGGAGAGATTACCAAAGGGCAGGAGGAAACTTTTTGGAGTGATAGGTATGTTAATTAATTCAATTGTAGTGAAGGTTTCATGGGGGCATACCTATGTAAAAATCTTTATAAATTGTATTATTTAAATATGTGCAATTAATTGCATGTCAACTAACCACAAAAAGCTGTAGCAGGAAAAAAAGCTTGAAAGGGCACTCACTGGCTAATTTGTGACAATTTGATTGTTAAACATGGGTTATAATTCACAAGACACAGTTCATATTGATATAAAAATATCAATGAAAATTTCAAAAAATAGGCTGGGCATGGTGGCTCATGCCTGTAATCCTAGCACTTTGGGAGGCCAAAGTAGGCAGATCACCTGAGGTCAGGAGTTCAAAACCAGCCTGGCCAACACGGTGAAACCCAGTCTCTACTAAAAATGCAAAAAAATTAGCTGGGTGTGGTGCACATGCCTATAATCCCAGCTACTTGGGAGTCTGAAGCAGGAGAATTGCTTGAACCTAGGAGGCAGAGACTGAAGTGAGCCAAGATTGCACCACTGCACTCTAGCCTGAGCAACAGAGCGAGATTCTATCCCAAAACAAACAACAACAACAAAAAAAATTCAAAAAATAAAAATTGACATGTTTATTTGATATATTTAAAATATATCAAAATAGGTCAGGTGCAGTGGCTCATGTCTGTAATCTCAGCACTCTGGAAGACTGAGGCAGGCAAATCACTTGAGGTGGTGTTCGAGGGCAGCCTGGCCAACATGGTGAAACCCTGTCTGTACTAAAAAAAAAAAAAAATTAGCCAGGTATGGTGGCATGTGCCAGTAATCCCAGCTACTAGGAAGGCTGAGGCAGGAGAATCACCTGAACCAGGGAGGTGGAGGTTGCAGTGAGCCAAGATCACACCACTAAACTCTAGCCTGGGCAACAAAGCAAGACTCTATCTCAAAAATAAATAAGCAACTAAATAATAAATTAAAATATATAAAATAAGTACATATTGACATAAAAAATAAGAAGAGAATACCAACTAACAAATGTAGAAGGAATAATGAATTAGAAAATCACTATTTGGTTAGTCACAAACGATTCAGGTAAGAATCATCAATGGATTTTTTTTTTTTTGAGATGGAGTTTCGCTCTTGTTACCCAGGCTGGAGTGCAATGGCGTGATCTCGGCTCACCGCAACCTCTGCCTACTGGGTTCAGGCCATTCTCCTGCCTCAGCCTCCCGAGTAGCTGGGATTACAGGCACGCACCACCATGCCCAGCTAATTTTTTTGTATTTTTTTTTAGTAGAGACGGGGTTTCACCATGTTGACCAGGATGGTCTTGATCTCTTGACCTTGTGATCCACCCGCCTCGGCCTCCCAAAGTGCTGGGATTACAGGCTTGAGCCACCGCGCCCGGCAATGGATCTTAAAACTAGTATGTGAAAGTACAATGTCACATCAGACATTTAGATTCTCAAAGTACTTCTCCAGAATTACTTATTAGTTATGAAGTAAAAAAGATTACCTTTACTCAGTGAGAAACATGATGAATACTACTTGAACCAAGTGACCAAAGATATTATTAGGAATAGCATAAACAGATATCACGTGCTTTTGGATACACAGCACTGAGGATCCATGGTACTCCTGCCAAAAATGAGAAATCTCTGCCAACTGAAAGACATTCTGCAAAATGAATGCCCTGAAAAATAAACTAAAGTGAAAAAAAAAAAGCCCTACACTCTTCAAAAACAGGAAAAGGTATAAAAAACAAAGACTGGGCCGGCTTTAGCTCAGTGGTTACTTCGACAATGGTTTCTATGGTGGAAAAAACAAAGACTAAGGAATGTTCCAAGAGGCATGACAAGTAAATGCAATGGATGAGTTGGGGTGCTATGGGATCCAAACAGTACCTAAAATTACTCTAATTTTCAAGTTAATGGTTGGTTTATTTAACTAGTGGTTACTAAAGTCTAGCTACTCTCACCAATCTGAAATATGTTTCTCACACATCAAATTTAATATGAGTATGATTTCTTATGATTCTGTAAAACATCTCTTCAAATTAGTAATAGCATTCATAACAGCAATAATTTTACTACTAGAGGCCAAATATTTTCAAACTATTGTTTATCTTTTTATGATTTTATTTTCCAATTTAGAAATGCCCACGTGTCTGCTGTGTGTTTGTTTAAGTGGCTCTGTATACTGTGAAGAAGTTGACATTGATGCTGTACCGCCCTTGCCAAAGGAATCAGCCTACCTTTACGCACGATTCAACAAAATTAAAAAGCTGACTGCCAAAGATTTTGCAGACATACGTAAGTTAAGCTGAAATATGATATTAGTATTAACTCATATTAGTATTTAACTCATATAAACACGTTTCTATATAGTTGCTGCCTGTCACATATAGGTTTGTCACTTGGAGTACATAAGTATCTAACACGTTTCACAAAAGTCCATTCATTTGTTGGTGAATCATCTTTCCATTCAGACAGATCCTGTGATCTTTCTTTACTGGTGACTTCAGTGTCTATGTTGACAGCCCATCTAACATACAGCAACTATATCTTGTCCATTCCAATACTTCAGGATCTCTTGCTTTAGACACTGAGTAACACCAATATAACTGGGATGCTTTTCCAACCACAATGTTTTATTATCTACCTGCACTATAAAAACACAGAAACTGGTGGGGCGCAGTGGCTCACACCTGTAATCCCAGCACTTTGGGAGGCCAAGGTGGGTCAATCACGAGGTCAAGAGATCTAGACCATCCTGGCCAACATGGTGAAACCCCGTCTCTACTAAAAATACAAAAATTAGCCAGGTGTGGTGATATGTGCCTGTGGTCCCAGCTACTTGGGAGGCTGAGGCAAAAGAATCGCTTGAACCCAGGAGGTAGAGGGTGCAGTGACCCAAGATTGTGCCACTGCACTCCAGCCTGGCGACAGAGCAAGACTCTGTCTCACAAAACACACACACACACACACACACACACACACACACACACACACACACACACACAGCTTTTTCTTACTTTAACTAATGGCTCTTAAACCTGGCTGGATATTAAAATATCATTTTGGGAAGCTTTTTTTTTTTCTTTCTTTCTTTTTCCAAGACAGAGTCTTGTACTGTCACCCAGGCTGGAGTGCAATGGCATGATCTTGGCTCACTGCCACCTCTGCCTCCTGGGTTCAAGCCATTCTCTTGCCTCAGCCTCCCAAGTAGTTGGGATTACAGGTGCCTGCCACCATGCCTGGCTAATATTTGTATTTTTAGTAGAGACGGGGTTTCACCATGTTGGCTGGTCTTGAACTCCTGACCTTGTGATCTGCCCGCCTTGGCCTCCCAAATTGCTGGGATTATAAGTGTGAGCCACCGTGCCAGGCAGGGAAGTATTTTTTAAATACTGAAACCAGGTCCTACTTTCTAAGGGTTGTAATTCAGATGTGGATTAGGGCCCAGGCAACATCATTAAAAACAAACAAACTCCTTGGATGATTCTAATATGGAAATAGTGTTGAGAACAGTGGTATTTAATTCTTTATCAGGTCATTATCAATCTTGAACCTCTAGCAAACCTTAACTCAACTGGAGTGTTGCCATAAGCATACCAGAATCCTCCATTTATGCAGTATCAAATCCCAGTTCTAGATCATTAATTTCTTGTCACTTTTCTAGACTCCTAATACTGTCAAGAGTTCTGAAGAAAATCACACCAAGAAATGCATACTGGCCCCACTACACATTTATGAGAGTAACCATAACCAGATCCATGCTGCCACTGATAGATCCAAATGTGGATTTAAGTATAGCTGATCCTTGTTATTTGTGGATTCCATATTTGTGAATTAACCCACATGCTAAAATTTATTTATAACTCCAAAATTAATACACATGATACTTTCATGGTCATTCTCAGACATGCTCAAAGTGGTAAAAAAATTTGAGTTACTTGACATGCACATTCCCAATCCATGTTGAACACAGTAACACTGTCTTATGGTTCCAGTTCTCATACTGTAAATAAATGCCCGGTTCACAGCCTATTTAATGACATGTTTTTCACATTTTTTGCTTTTTGTTTATACTTTTGCTGTTTATTGATTTTGGTTTTTGTTTGTTTTTGAGACAAGGTCTTGTTTTGTCACCAGTCTGGAGTGCAGAGGCACAATCTAGGCTCACAGCAGCCTCTGTCTCCTGGGTTCAAGGGATTCTCATACCTCAACCTCCCAAGTAGCTGGGACTACAGGCATGCACCACCACACCGGCAATTTTTTTTTTTCCGTAATTTTAGTATAGACAGGATTGCGCTGTGTTGGCCAGGCTGGTCTTGACCTCCTGACCTTAAGTGATCTGCCCACCTTGGCCTCTCAAAGTGCTGAAATTACAGGCATAAGCCACCACATCTGACCCAACACATGATGCTGAAGTGATGTCTAACATCCCTAAGTACAAAAAGGGTGTGACATGCCTACAGAGAAAATATGTTAGATAAGGTCTGTTCAGGTATGAGTTATAGGGTAATATTAATGATTCAACAATACATATTAAGCAAGTTATCTTTAAGCAAAAACACATAAAGTTATGTACTAATTAGTTGATGGAAATGTGTGTCCAGAGGCTCACAGGGACGTAACCCTATATTTCTCCTAGGAATAATGGTTTAATATTCACAAATTCAGCCCTTGTGGTAATTTTCTAGAACATAACTCCTGTGAATAAGAAGCAATTGTATTTCCTAATTATCCCAGATATGAGTGATGCACACACAGTATACACACACACACACACACACACACACACCTGAATTTCTCTCTCTCTCAATCTGTGTCACTTTAGCAAATCAGGGAACATCTTTGTCTTTGTCGTTGTTAAGTAATAAGGCATAGAGATATTAAGATAACATACTCAGATTTACAAGGCAACATGCCAGCAAAATATCTAAAAATATTACATGATTCCAATAAAATGTAATGCTTACTTTCCATGATTTGAAACAATAATTTCTTTCTAACTGCCTGGCCATCCTGAGGAATTTGAACAGAGAAAGATTAAAAGACTTGATTAACTTTAAGATCACTTTCTTTCTTTTTCTTTTTTTTGAAACGGAGTCTTGCTCTGCCACCCAGGCCGGAGTACAGTGGCGCGATCTTGGCTCACTGCAACCTCCATCTTCTGGGTTCAAGCCATTCCCTGCCTCAGCTTCCCAAGCAGCTGGGATCTCAGGCACACGCCACCACACCCGGCTAATGTTTGTATTTTTAGTAGAGATGGGGTTTCACCATGTTGGCCAGGCTGGTCTTGAACAACTGACCTCAGGTGATCCTCCTGCTTTGGCTTCCCAAAGTGCTGGGATTACAGGCATGAGCCACTGTGCCCAGCCTTAAGATCACTTTCAAACCTGAGATTCTAGGACTCCAGTCAGAAAGGGCAGGAGTTTCAGGCATGAAGAGGTGCTCAGTGATTATTTGACAAAACTTTACTGGGCTATGAATTGCAGATACTCTACCCAGCACTAACAATGAAAGACTTGAGTGATCTGTTAAAAAAAAATGCTTTTCTTCAGTCCATACAATAAGAATTTTACTTATTTAGTTATTTTTTGTATATTTTTCCCTCAAGCTAACTTAAGAAGACTTGATTTTACGGGAAATTTGATAGAAGATATAGAAGATGGTACTTTCTCAAAACTTTCTCTGTTAGAAGAACTTTCACTTGCTGAAAATCAACTACTAAAACTTCCAGTTCTTCCTCCCAAGCTCACTTTATTTAATGCAAAATACAACAAAATCAAGAGCAGAGGAATCAAAGCAAATGCATTCAAAGTAAGTATTTTATAGTAAAACTAAGCTTAGTACGAGTGATAATATGATAGATAAAAGAGAAACTGGCCAGATGCGGTGGCTCACGCCTGTAATCCCGGCACTTTGGGAGGCCAAGGCAGGCGGATCACCTGAGGTAGGAAGTTCAAGACCAGCCTGACAAACAGGAGAAACCCCATCTCTACCAGAAATAGAAAATTAGCTGGGCATGGTGGCACATGCCTGCAATCCCAGTTACTCAGAGGCTAAGGCAGGGGAATTGCTTGAAACCAGGAAGTGGAGGTTGTAGTGAGCCAACATCGCCCCATTGCACTCCAGCCTGGTCAAGAAGAGCGAAATTCCATCTCAAAAACAGAAAAAAATAAAGAGAAATTTGGGTCTAGAATTGGGTACACTTGCAAACTATTTCTATTTAATAAATGAAGACATTATTTACATAATAAGTAACCATCCTATAAGGCTCATTCGGCCTAGCTTATACCTATATCTCAGTTAAAATACATAACCTTTATCTTATTTCATGGGACTATATTGTTTCTCATTTTTCTACTTGTTCCTACAGCAAATATTTATTTAGACAAACATGGTTGACCCCTTCGTGGCACTTATAGTCTACGAAAGCTCAAAATGGGACCTTTCCTGTGTTACTTTTTCCTTGCAATGTTAGCAAATTATAAATACCAGACAAAAATAAAGGTCCAAAAAGTAAATACTGAATTTGACTTTTAATATTTAAAACTTTTAGACTGTGAAATTCTATAGGGAGATTTTCCTTTGAATTTCATGATAGCATGTAAAATAAAATTTTATATGAAGTAAGAAATATATTTCTCAATTTAACAATTCAAGCAAATACTGTGTAGGAAAAAGGGAAGGTAATCTACTTCCATTTAGGTAAACTATTTGCCTCAAAATGCATGCTCTACAAAAGTAATCACTTTAGCCCAGGACTTCCAAAGCTCTGATGTAACCATTCCCCAGATAAAATGAGGAGATGATCATGCCACTGCTGGTAACAGACATAACCTCATTCAAAAGGCAAGGTTTCTTGCTTCTAAAGGTGACTTCAGATAGGACCTAAAGCTTAGCAAATATTCATTATCATAAAGTTTATGATAATCATACAAAGGTAGAATCTGTCCAAAAATAAACAGTCTGTTAGAAAGTAAAGAAATAGTCCATTTTTTCCTTTTATTTTTCTTTACAATTAAGGTATCTTTTTTCACCTACAAGGGACATTTTAAAGTTACATCAGAGTTCATCTGATGTTTCTTGTAAGGAACTCAGAAGTTAAGGGACTCTTAGAGGACTTTTTAAAAGCAGACACACTTTTTTTTTTTTTTTTGAGATGGAGTCTCACTCTTTTGCCCAGGCTGGAGTGCAGTAGTGTGATCTTGGCTCACTGCAACCTCTGCCTCCCAGGTTTGAGCGATTCTTTTTCCTCAGCCTCCCAAGTAGCTGAGGCTACAGGCACATGCCACCATGCCCGGCTAATTTTTGTATTTTTAGTAGACACAGTGTCTCACCATGTTGGCCAGGCTGGTCTCAAACTCCTGACCTTAGGTAAACCGCCCACCTTAGCCTCCCAAAGTGCTGGGATTGCAAGCATGAGCCACCATGTCGGCTTTTTTAAAGTTGTAATTTGAAAAAATTAATTTGAATTGCTCAGTCTTTGAATAATTGACATGTTAAAGACCTATAAGAGCTAATCAGTCCAGGTTCAGTGGCTCACACCTGTAATCCCAACACTTTGGGAAGCTGAGGCGGGCAGATTACTTGAGGTTAGGAGTTTGAGACCAGCCTGGCCAACATGGTGAAACCCCATCTCTACTAAAAATACAAAAACTAGCCATGCATGGTGGTGGGTGCCTGTAATCCCAGCTACTTGGGAGGCTGAGGCACAAGAATCACTAGAACCCAGGAGCCAGAAGTTGCAGTGAGCTGAGATCGCACCACTGCACTCCTGCCTGGGCGATAGAGAAAGACTCAGTCCAGTGAAAAAAAAAAGCTGATCAACGTTTCACAAAAACAATGTTTGCATATTTTGGGGTTTACACAAACATTATAGAAGGGATTTATGACAAGTTGGTATGAAAATAATAAACTCAGCCGGGCACGGTGACTGATACATGTAATCCTAGCACTTTGGGAGGCCAAAGCGGGCAAATTGCCTGAACTCAGGAGTTTGAGACCAGCCTGAGCAACATGGTGAAACCCTGTCTCTAAGAAAATACAAAAAATTAGCCAGGCGTGGCGATGTGCCCCTGTAGTCCCAGCTACTCGGGAGGCTGAGGCAGGGGAATTGCTTGAACCTGGGAGGCAGAGGTTGCAGTGAGCCGAGATTGTTCCACTGTACTCCACCCTAGGCAACAGAGTGAGACTCTGCCTCTAAAAAAAAAAGAAAAGAAAATAATACTCAGCTGCCCTATAGTTTTATTTAATGTCTTAGGCCTCTACAGTCACTAGTAGAATTAGGTTATTTTAACCCATGTAAATGAGACTCACTGGGAAGACCAGAGCTTGATGCCCATATGGTGGAAGAAAGTATTAAAATAACAGCATAGAAAAGAACTGATAAATTGTACTTAGTCTTCAATACACATCCTGTGCTAATTTTGCTAGCAGGGGAAACTACAATTATACACAATAATGGGTTACTGATCCTGAAGAGTAATCTAACATGAAGCCCTTAGGAAAAAAACACACCAAGCTAACTGTTTAATAAACTGCTTTGGAAAACACACATTTCTAAGGAGTAACCACTTAGCTAGAAATTGGTGGAGCTAAGATGGGAAGCTCCAGAGGTACAGGAGAGGTTATGGCAGTACCAGGGTCAAAATTCAGTCCCATGTAGAGACTCATCTCATTAGCTCCTATCAAGACAAACTCAAAGGGCCCCAGAATCTGGCATTAGAAGAAACAGTTTTATTTGCTTAAAAAGATTACCTATAGGGTCATACTCTTAACCTCTATCAGTACAACATATAAACTAAAGTACACATACACTTATAGTCTGTATCAACAATGTGTAAGAAACCTAAGTATTGGTTTAATATTAACTTTGAAGAAATTTGATATTTTAAGCAAGGATACTCAAAGATCAGATAGATGAATGGACAGAAATGCGGGATATATAGCAGAATTCCACTAGCTGTCATAAAGGACCAAACTGTGAAGCCAGAAAAAAAACAAAGAAGAAACTACCATATGAATAATTGATACTATTGATGTACTTATGTCAATATGCAAGTCGGTATACAGACACATACTCATATGCACATATATAATGTTTGAATCCTGTGAAAGAATGCATGGAACCTCAATAGCACTCACATGAAATTTTCCTTACAGAAACTGAATAACCTCACCTTCCTCTACTTGGACCACAATGCCCTGGAATCCGTACCTCTTAATTTGCCAGAAAGTCTACGTGTAATTCATCTTCAGGTATGATGTTTCCTTTCACAATATCTGACTCTAATTACCTCTGGGTCAAAATCTTATGTCTGACTGGGAATCTCACTTACTTACATACACATTTTGGTTAGATCACTATAGTAGTATGATAGCTTAAATGCCTGCCCATCAAAAGTATTAATGCTAGGCCGATGAACTTTTCTGTCCCAAAGTCCAGATTCCGTCCAGATCATAACAAGTGGACCAGCACAGTAGGTGTGAAGTCTGTTCTTGATTGCATTTGTCTCCAGGTGTATATTTGGTATTTCCTAACTAATCTGACACAAGGATGTGAAGTGAGGGGGCACTCGGACCTCTAGTTTATGTTTCCTTCTCCCATTACATAGCATATGAAAGGGTGATTTCAGATTTCTGAACAATTTTTTCCTCTTTTTTTTTTTTCAGTTTAACAACATAGCTTCAATTACAGATGACACATTCTGCAAAGCTAATGACACCAGTTACATCCGGGACCGCATTGAAGAGATACGCCTGGAGGGCAATCCAGTCATCCTGGGAAAGCATCCAAACAGTTTTATTTGCTTAAAAAGATTACCTATAGGGTCATACTCTTAACCTCTGTCAGTACAACATATAAACTAAAGTACATCTACACTTATAGTCTGTCTCAACAATGTGTAAAGGAACCTAAGTATTGGTTTAATATTAACTTTGAAGGAATTTGATATTTTAAGCAAGGATGTTCAAAATCTCACATAGTAAGTAAAAAGTAAGATTGAATATCTATAGTCAAAACAAAGTAATGTGAAAATATTTAAACAGCATTATAAAATCCTAGTTTATACCAGACTACCATTTAAAAAACATGTTTTTATATAAGTGCCCAAATTTGAGATGCATTAATTCTGTTACTAATGATGTATGTAAGAGTATAAATCCAATAAATTTTCAACTCTTTGTCTTTCCTGGTCTTTACTGGATCCCAAAAGCATTTAAGGTACATGTTCCAAAAACCTTGAAAAGTTAAATGTTTCCCATGATCACCCATTCTTCTTTTATGATTCATACATTATTCCTTATAAAGTTAGAACTTTGTTTTCCTATCAAGGCAGCTATTTTATTAAATTTTCACTTAGTCTGAGAAATAGGGCATAGTCTCATATGTAGGCAAACTTTCCAAATAAAATAAATGTTATTCTCTGATAAAGAGCTAATACAGAAATGTTCAAGTTATTTCACTTTCTGTTCACACAGTTAATGTCTTCAGTAAAATATTTTTATTTATCTAAAGATTAACATTCTAAGACTACCCAGAAAAAGCTTTTAAAGTCAAGCAGGCCAAAACCAGTGTGCTTATAGTGGCTATAGCCAAAAAAATAGAAAACATGAAAAGTCCATCATAACCATTAAGTTCTCTATGGTAAAGGCTTTCAAATATGAGATAACTGCAAAACATTTTCCTTTTATTTAGAAATGAGAATCTCATCAATAAATTAGTTCAAACATAAGATGAAAACAGAATATTCTGTGGTGCTAGTGCACACTACTTTCCCACCCATACACATCCATGTTCACTGTAACAAACTGAATATTCACAATAAAGCTTCTAAGTAACACTTTCTGATTATTTATGATAAACTGATATGGCTAACTGCAAGAATCTAATCTTCAATCTAAGAATAATAGTTTTTGATGACTCAGTGCTGCCAGAGTAAAGTTTCCAAAATAACTTTCCTCTTGCTTGTACCTCACTAAAAGTCTTAGTCTACACTTTGCATTGAAGTTAAACAAAATTATCAGTGTTTTAGAAACGTAAGTCTGGACTAAATAAATAAAAGTAAAAACGTTATTTCCATCATGAAGTATGTATTGAAATCAAGTTGTCTCTGTGCACTATTCCCAGAATACATACTTATTCCCATTTTTAAGCATTTGCTTCTGTTTTTTTCCCTACCTACAATGATGTCACATGTTTTTCAACTATCCCCTTGTTTGTCAAAGCTGACCTCAAGATAAAATTTTTGATTAAAGCATCTGAGATCTAAGACCACAATTACTATTCTAACAATGATTATTAGCTCATTCACTTATTTTGATAACTAATGATCATAATTATTATAATGTTTTCTCATTATTTTGTGTGCATGCCTCATTTTCCTGTGACTTAAAGCTCACTACAAGCACTAAATGCAGCTTTATACTTTATACTTTCAAAGTGCTAGCACAATAGTGAGCACATTTGAATTGAATATACAATAAATATTGCAAAATAAAATCCATTAAATAGAAAGGTTCTGTTTTATTTGGAAAAATTGAATCTTTAAACTATCATAATCTTGAATGCCTGTCATCTTTCTAGTGTTCAGAAAAACAATGTATTTCTATATTCTTTTTATGATAAAACCTATGGAGGAAAACACCATAAAATACTCTCAAATTAAGAAAAAATACAAAAGTCAGTAGTTTTAGATAAGACGATGATAAGGGAGAAAGAGGATTGGTAAAAGATATGAATTATAGAATTAAAGAAATAATTTGGGGATTTCTTTTTTTGGGGGGGATTTCTAGATAAGAGGATATAAACATGCATACCTTACACCTTCACAGACACAACCTTAAATCACAAACAAAATAAACAATATAAATTATACCACAAAGATCCAAAAGATATCAGAGGAAATAATTAGTGAATGTAAAAATATGCTGTCTCCATTATATTAATAATGTTTCATTCTTAACACTAATAATTAAAGAAATAGAGGTTTTAAACTTTTAAATAATTTACTTCTTACTAACATTGCTGAAAGAAACTAAAGATCTACATAAATGGAAAGATATCTTATGTTTATGGATGGGAAGCTTTAATGTTGTTAAGACAACAATACTACCCAATACAATATGCAGACTGAACACAGCTGCCATCTAAATCTCAATAATGCTTTCACACAAATAAAAAAATTCACCTTAAAATTCATATGGAACTTCAAAACACCTCCAAATACACCGAAGAATCTTGAAAAGAAGAATAAAGATAGAAAACTCACATTTCCTAACTTCAAATTTACAACAGATACAGTAATGAAAACAGTATGTAGCTGAGTGCAGTGGCTCATGCCTATAATCCTACCACTTTGCGAGGCTGAGGCGGGTAAATCACTTGAGGTCAGGAGTTCAAGACCAGCCTGGCCAACATGGTGAAACCCCGTCTCTACCAAAAATTCAAAAAAATTAGCTGGATGTGGTGGCGGGCGCCTGTAATCCCAGCTACTGGGAGACTGAGGCAGGAGAATCACTCAGGCAGAAGAATCGCTCAGCCAGGAGGCAGAGGTTGCAGTGAGCCAAGATTGCACCACTGCACTCTAGCTTGCACAACAGAACAAGATTTCATCTCAAGAAGAAAAGAAAAGAAAAGAAAATGAAGGGAGGGGAGGGGAGAGGAGGAAAGAGGAGGGGAGGGGGAAAACAGTATGATACTAGTTTAAGTACAGACATAGAGACCAATAGAATACATTAAACAGCCCAGAAATAAACCCTTGCAAATAGGATCAGATGCTTTCCAACAAAAGTACAAAGACCATTCAGTGGAGAACGCGTCTCTTCAGCAGTGGTGCTGGGAAAGCTGGATATCCATATACAAAAGGATAAAGTTGGACCCCTACCTTATATAATATTAAAAAATGAACTCAAAGACATAAACTTAAGAGCTAATTATAAAACTCTTAGAGGAAAACTTTTATGAAATTGAATTCGGCATGGAATTTCTTGGAATTGACACCAAAAACACAGGTTAAAAAAAAAAATAAACGGGTCTCCAGCAAAATTTAAAATTTTTGAGACAGATTTGTTAAAGGTAACAAAATTACAGCTAGATAGGAGGAATAAGTTCTATACCATTGTAAGACAACCATAGTTAAAGATAATATATAGTTTCAAATAGCTAGAAAATCCTAATTGTTCCCAACATCAAGAAATGATAAATATTTGAGCTGATGGAAATGCTAATTACCCTGATCTGATCACTATACATTATATACATTGAATTATCACTATGTACCCATGAATATGTAAAATAACTATTTTGTTGATTAAAAATTAATGAAAAATAAATTTTAAAAGTTAAAAACTTCTGCTCATCAAAGGACACTATCAAGAGTCAAAAGACAACCCACAGGAAGTATTTTGAAATCACATATTTGATAAGAAGTTAATATCCAGAATATATTTTAAAAACTCTACAATTCAACCAAAAAAACAAACCAATTCAAAAATGGGCCAAGGACTTACAGAGACATTTCCTCAACGATATACAAATGGCCAAGCAACACATAAAAATATGTTTAACATCACTAATCATTAGGAAGGTGCAAATCAAAACCACAGTGAGATATCACTTCCTACACATCAGGTTGACTACAGCCCATCGCGCCCCCAAAAAGCAGAAAATAACAACTATTAAAGTAGTTGTAGAGAAATTGAAGTACTTGTGCTTTGCTGGCATAAAATGATACAAGCACTATGGAAAAGACTATGACGTTCTTCAAATAATTAAAAACAGAATTACCATATGACCCCGCAACTCTATTTCCAGATATACAATTACACTTAAAAGAATTGAGAGGGATGCAAACAGGTAACAGTACACTAATGTTCACAGCAGGATAATTCAAAATAGCCAAAAGTAAAAACAACCAGTGTCCACCAACAAATGAATGGATAAACAAAATGTATATACATTTAATGGAATATGATCCAGCCTCAAAAAAAGGCATGGGGTGGGCAGTGGGGCTTGAGAGGCCAAGGTAGGTGAATTGCTTGAGCCCAGTAGTTCAAGACCAGCCTGGGCAACAGGGCAAAAACCGCATCTCTACAAAAAATACAAAACTTAGCTGACATGGTAGTGTGTGCCTGTAGGCCCAGCTACCTGGGAGGCTAAGGTGGGAGGATCACCTGAGCCAGGGACAAAGTTGCCATGAGCCGTGACTGAACCATTGCACTCCAGCCTGGGCAACAGAGTGAGACCCTGTCTCAAAAAAAAAAAAAAAAAGGGGAAATCTGACACATGCTACAACATGGATAAATTTTGAGGACATTATGCTAAGTGAAATAAGTCAGACAAAAAGGACACTCTACATATATGAGGCACCTAGAATAGTCAAATTCATAGAAAGAGAAAGCAGAACAGTGGTAGCAAGCGCTAAGAGAAGGCAGGAATCAGGAGTTAATGTTTAATGGGTATGTTTCAGTTTTAGATGATGAAAAACTTCTGGAGAAGGATAGTGGTGATGATTACAGAACAATGTGATTGGTTTTTTCCATCCTGGTGTAATGTTATAACTAACAAAGACCAGCTCCCTAGAAGCTCTCTACCCTCCATAGGAAAAATACACAAATTATACTTTCCTAACTGCCTGGAAGGCACCTAGAGTCAAATCACCTTTGGAAATAGAGACTAGTGATCTCATTTTCCATCACCCATTCAAATGCATAAGGAAACGGCAACATTAGGTGATTCATTTATTATCATAACTGCCAGCACACTCCACAGTCATTATTGTATTTTACCACTTGTGAAGCAGAAATATTTAATTTTTCTGGCACAAGACTACCTATGATAAAATATAACAAAATCATGAGACTGCCTCAAGGTACTGTAGTACAGAACTGCCCAGGTTTCTTTTTGGAAAAAATCCTACACCTGACAGATTTTATTAGCTCAACCAAATAGAATAAATAATAATAATAAACAATAGAACCCCAAATAAAGGAAAGTTAGTATAAATCCTAAAAACAAAGTCATGACCTGGTTAGGCTTTTGAAGGAATATGAACCTTGAAATAGTATTTAAGTTGACTTTCATAACTGGTTTCTGTGTGGATTAATGCTGTCACTAATTTGATGCTATCCAAATGAGTAGGACTTGAGGTATGACAGTACAACCAAACATAATTGCAGTTATGCCCGAAAACAAAGAAAGGAAATAAAAAGAAGTATTATAAAGTACCCATATCAGACTTTAGAAAGCATTATTTCACAAGAATCAGCCTTTGATATTTAAACTCAAAATGTACAATTGAGAAGCTGAAAACACAGAGTCTGGCTCAAGCAGTTAGCCGTCTACCACTACATGATAAGCCTGCTGTGATGATATTCTTTATTAACATTTGTTGTTTTACTTCAAGTACTCTTAAAAGGATGATTTTTCACAACGTGCATTTTAAATAAATTTGAATGTAACCACACTTCTTTCAGGACATTCTACCATATAAACCATTCACTTATCTATACAGAAGTAATCCTCCTCCACTTATTCCAAATAATTGCAAATCCCAAAAGTCAATGACAATATTTTCAATTGTTTGAAAGCTTTTAAGAAAAGAATGTTATGGATGAATTCTCAATTAATATCAGCTTTATCTTCCATATATGTTTAAATTCAAAGACTTTAGACTTTACCTTGAAATGTTTAAATGCGTGCTTACGATATTCAAACCACTCCACAAAAAAATGCAGGCTTCGGAAAAACATAAACAGATCTTTTCTCTCTTCTGCTCTGTAGGAATAAATGATTCTCTGATTAATAAACATCATTAAATGATAGAACAAATCTAGCTTTATTTATTTTTCCTTTTCATGTATCCCATACTAAAACAAAAAACTACTTGGACGTAGTTCTACATATCAATTCCTGCATTCCTGTGTGTTCCTCCAGTGTGACTGCTACTTCTACCTTTTCAGCCTAGAATGTCACTTCCCCATTTTCTTTTTCTTTTTTTTTTTTTTGAGACGGAGTTTCGCTGTTGTTACCCAGACTGGAGTGCAATGGCACAATCTCGGCTCACCTCAACCTCCGCCTTCCGGGTTCAAGCAATTCTCCTGCCTCAGCCTCCTGAGTAGCTGGGACTACAGGCGCACAACACCATGCCCAGCTAATTTTTGCAGTTTTAGTAGAGATGGGGTTTCACCTTGTTGACCAGGATGGTCTCGATCTTTTGACCTCCTGATCCACCCACTGGGATTATAGGTGTGAGCCACCACTCAGGCCCACTTTCCCATTTTCAAATGTTTAAATCTATCATTCAAATCACTCAAATGCCACGTTCCCTGAAATCTTATTTGATGACTACAGTATAACAAAGAATAATGAAGAATAGACAATACAAAAGTCTTCTGGCAGGGTGCTTTACAACTTTTGGAACTTCCTGAGTGACAGATGTATCTTTGTTATGCTAATGAGATGCCTCACAGTGGCTCCTACATATTGCAGACTGGGGGCTGTTCACCAGGAAAACCAAACACATTAGAGGGCTAACAAGGAACACAGCAGAGCTTCCTGGTTGGTGAATACACTGAGGTACTGACTGGGAGGATAACGTGCCTGGATTTCACAAGGAATCTCTGTCTCCCCAGCACCCAAACCTTCATCTATGCATTACTTCCATTTAGCTGTGTCTGGGTTCTATCCTTCATAATAAAATGGTAATTATAAGTATAGTGTTTTCAGTAAGTTCTGTGAGTGGTTCTAGCAAATTATTAAACCTGAGAGATTTGTGGGAACTCCAGAATTTATAACCAGTTGGTCATAACTGCAGGTGGACCTTGACACTTGCAGCTGGTGTGTGAAGTGAAGACACTCTTGATGGAGACCTCTGCCTATAACCTGTGGGGTGTTAGTGTGAGAATTGAACTGAGCTGCAGGACATCCAGTTGGTGACAGAGAACCATTGTCAGAACAATCACCACACCACCACACCACATATACCATTCCCTAACAGCTAGAAATAATTGCATTCCTTTCCCTGAGAGCTCTCACAGGAATGAGTCTTAATTCTCTTAATATTACACCTATTTTAATAATGTAAGCTACAAACACAAGTAACTTGAAAGCAAGAACCATCTATCATTTAATTATTCATTTGATAAATGATTGTGGGAGTTGAGTTCTTGTACTAGTCATGATAGAAATAAGCATATTCCACCCCAATGCTTCCATTAAATACAATTTAAAACCATGGCCATAACACATAAAGCAAACATCAGAAACTCTGAAATGTGGAAAGAAAAAAGAACAGGTAGAGTCTTCAGGAATCAAGCGAGGACCTGAAAATGAATTCCTTGGGATTTATTTTTGCCTCCTGTATATCCCAGTCTGCACAAAGGAGCAGCATGCGGTACATTAACAACAACAACCCAAAAGGCCTCAGGAAAACCATTCCCTCTAGGCCAATGAAGATCATGCAAGATGAGAAGAAACAGGACTGGCAGAAGGGAGCCCTAGTGCCAAAGAGAAGCTATACCCCTTTCGCTCCAAATCAGACACTTTAGCCACAGAGGCTGAGGTGTGAAGCCTGTCAACTATCACCGCCAACAATAAGCAAAAGCAGGCAAAGCAGAGACCTCACCTGACACCAAGCAAACATAAGCAAAGAAAGGATGCCATTCCTGTTCTCAACCAGCATGGTAGCTGCACACACAGTGGGATGCTCTGTTAACTTTCCACACTCTGCACTTAAGTGATCCCAAGAAGAGATAAGGGAGAATCAGAGAGGAGGAGTCTTCAGAAGAGAATCTTTTACATCGGTTTATGAAGTTCTAAATAACCAAGATATAAGAAGAACTAGAATCAACACAGAAAAAAATACTGAGAACTGAATTATAGTGTATAATAATTTCCAAAATTCACACTGGCCTTGGGTAGTACATGAGTAGGGGAGACCACAATAAGATACTGAACTACAGACTATAAACTGAGCTAGGGTGCGCTTTTGAATTAGAAATGCATCAATAGGGACGGACTCAAGATGGTGCACACAACCCAGGATTGAAGCTCTCGGTGAACGCGTGGAAGGTGAGTCCGGGCCGCATTTCCAGACGGATCTTTGTTGCCCACAGAACGGGAAAATTCCCAGGTATAAAAGAGACGCGGGGCACCAGCGAAGAGGTTTTGGCTGGTGCAGCCAGTGGCCGGTGCTACAGTGCAGTGGCACTCCACAGTGCTCCGCACAAAGTGCATGGGTCCAGGTGCCCTGTTGAACCGGCAATCTGAGACTTGAGAGGGCAGATTGGCATATCCATCTGATTGAATGGGACTTGGACAGTGAGCCAGGACAGGAGATTCCAGGGAAACAGCATTTGGGCCAGCGCAGTGGGACAAACAAAACAACGATTCCAAAAGCTCCGGTGGAGAGTCTCACTGAGGGCACAGCTGAACCCAGGATGGTACAGCTAGGTGGGGGAGGGGTGTCCGCCATTACCGAGGCAACCTGCCCCTACTGAGGTACACGCCCATTGCTGACGCAGCCTGCCGTTGCCAAGGCAACCCGCCACAACAGAGAGACTCTGACCCAGGGCGTAGCCCGTGGCAGCAGGGTGGAGACCGCAGCAGCAGGCAAATAGTGCCTAGACTGCCTCCTAGCTGGGCAGGACAGCGCAACGGACACTCATAAAGAAACCCCAACCACCCGAGGCAGAGCATCTGAGAAAAAAAGGGTTTTTCTTTGATGAGTTCTGCTGCAGCAGAATTAAACATAGCAGCCTAACAGTCCTGAATGAACAACAGAGCTCACAGCTCAGCACTTGAGCTCCTATAAAGTACAGACTGTCTCCTCAAGCAGCTTCCTGACCCCTCTATATCCAGAAGACTGGCATTCGGCAGGCATCATTCTGGGACAAACATACCAGAAAAAAAAACTGGTAGCATCCCTCACTGTTCCGCAGCTGCTATAGGTGCACCCCAGACAAGCAGGGCCTGGAGTGGACCTCAGCAGTCATACAGTGGAGGGGCTAGACTGGTAGAAGGAAAACCAAGTAACAGAAATACTTCATCATCAACAATCTGGGTGTCCACTCAGGGACCCAATTGAAAAGTCAGCAACTACTCAGACGACAGGTGGATAAATCCACAAAGATGGGAAGAAACCAGCGCAAAAAGGAGGAAAACACCCGAAACCAGAACACCTCGCCTCCTACAAAGGACCAAAACTCCTCACCAGCAAGGGAACTAAGTTGGACGGAGAATGACTGTGACAACATGATGAAATTAGACTTCAGAAAGTGGATAATGAAAAACATTTGTGAGCTAAAAGAACATGTTTTAAATCAATGCAAAGAAACTAAGAACCTTGAAAAAAGATTCGAGGAAATGATAACAAGAATGGATAACTTAGAGAGGAATACGAATGAATTGAAGGAGCTGAAAAACACAATACGAGAACTTTGCAAAGCATGCACAAGTTTCAACAGCCAAATTGACCAAGCACAAGAAAGAATATCAGAAGTCGAAGATCAACTCAATGAAATAAAATGAGAAATCAAGATCAGAGAAAAAAGCACAAAAAGGAATGAACAAAGTCTCCAAGAAATGTGGGACTATGTGAAGAGACCTAACCTACGTTTGATAGGCATACCAGAATGTGACAAAGAGAATACATCCAAGCTGGAAAATACTCTTCAGGATATTATCCAGGAAAATTTCCGCCACCTAGCAAGACAGGCCAACACTCAAATGCAGGAAATACAGAGAACACCACAAACATATTCCGCAAGAAGAGCAACCCCAAGGCACATAATCGTCAGATTCACCAGGTTTGAAATGAAGGAGAAAATACAAAGGGCAGCCAGAGAGAAAGGTCGGGTCACCCACAAAGGGAAGCCCATCAGACTCACAGCAGATCTCTCGGCAGAAACTCTACAAGCCAGAAGAGAGTGGGGCCAATTTTCAACATCCTTAAAGAAAAGAACTTTCAACCAAGAATTTCATATCCAACCAAACTGAGCTGCATAAGTGAAAAAAAAAAAATAAAATCCTTTGTGAACAAGCAAGTATTCAGAGTTTGTCACCACCAGGCCTGCTTTACAAGAGCTCCTGAAAGAGGCACTACACATAGAAAGGAACAACCAGTACCAGCCATTCCAAAATCACACTAAATGCTAAAGAGCATCAACATAATGAAGAATCTATATCAACTAACGGGCAAAACAGCCAGCTAGCCTCAAAATGGCAGTATCGAATGCAAACACAACAATATTAACCCTAAATTTAAATGGACTAAATGCACCAATTAGTCTAGAAGACATAGACTCGCAAATTGGATAAAAAACCAAAACCCATCAGTGTGCTGTATCCAGGAAACCCATCTCACATGCAAGGATACACAAAGGCTCAAAATAAAGGGATGGAGGAAGATTTACAAAGCAAATGGAGAGTAAAAAAAAGCAGGAGTTGCAATTCTCATCTCTGATAAAATAGACTTTAAAGCAACAAAGACCAAAAGAGACAAAGAAGGCCATTACATAATGGTAAAAGGATCGATACAACAAGAAGAGCTAACGATCCTAAACATATATGGACCCAATACAGGAGCACCCAGATACATAAGGCAAGTTCTTAATGACTTACAAAGAGACTTAGACTCCCACACAATAATAGTGGGAGACTTTAACACTCCACTATCAATATTAGACAGATCAACCAGACAGAAAATCAACAAGGATATCCAGGGCTTGAACTCAGACCTGGAACAAGCAAACCTGATACACATCTAAAAACTCTCC